CAAAAAATTTATTTCATTATCAAACTATTAATCCTAGTTGTTTTTTTATTTATCTGTTTATTTTGAGTTAAAGGAATACCTTTTCTCTACAAGACTGGATGATAAAAAATTCAAAAGAAATTCTTAAATAGCAAAAATACATATTGCACACAAAGATGGGTGAAAGTTTAAAATGCTAGTGGAATGGATGAGCTGTCCTTAGAGATTTTAAATGCGCAGAATATGCATGAGATTTCTTCCTCTTTAATTTCTCTTTTCCTTCTACTTCTTTTTTCTTTTTTTTTTTTAATTTTTTTGACAGGCAGAGTGGACAGTGAGAGAGAGAGACAGAGAGAAAGGTCTTCCTTTTGCCGTTGGTTCACCCTCCAATGGCTGCCGCGGCCGGCGCGCTGCGGCCGGCGCACCGCACCGATCCGATGGTAGGAGCCAGGAGCCAGGTGCTTTTCCTGGTCTCCCATGGGGTGCAGGGCCCAAGCACCTGGGCCATCCTCCACTGCACTCCCGGGCCACAGCAGAGGGCTGGCCTGGAAGAGGGGCAACCGGGACAGAATCCGGCGCCCCGACCGGGACTAGAACCCGGTGTGCCGGCGCCGCTATGCGGAGGATTAGCCTAGTGAGCCGCGGCGCCGGCCCTTTCCTTCTGCTTCTCTGTTCAAAAGTGTATGAAATAAGAAGCAGAAGGAATAGATCCACCCCATCTTATTCCAGAAAATTTTTAGAAGTGCCCCTAAATTTGGCACTCTTTCTTCTAAATTTCTATAGATATTCATAGACTGGACAGTTTGCTTGTGAGTTCATTGACTTTTGTTGCAGAGTAGCATTCGGTTAACATATTATCTAGCCAGGCCTGTGGAAATCAGTTTTACTAGCACATTAAAATCACCCGGGAGGGACTTTCCGAACACATGTACCTGACTCCAATGTCAGAACTTCTGATTTAATTGGTCTGAGGTGAGGCCCCAGTCTTCAGGATGTTTTTTCAGACTGTAGCATCGATTGAAGTGTGTGAGGTTGAGAACCTCCATCTGGGCAGTGTTTATTATCCTTGGCTATTCATCAAAATTAACTGGGTTGCTTGTTAAAACTGTAGATTCCTGAGCCACTCCCTCAAGAATCTGATTCAGTAAGTCTGTGGAATCTGTACTTTAAACAAGCACCCCAGGGGTTTTTGATAATTGGTTGAATTTAGGAAACACTAATCTAGTACATCCAATAAAACGCAAACTAGCTAGACGGGTCTGTTTTGTGCTTAATGACAAAATTTTCTCGAACTCATTCTAATACTATGTGTTGTTAAAAAAATTTTCTCTTAAAATTGTCTACTTTTTCTGTGTGTGCTAGTGTGTAGATTTATTTAGCTTATCAAGTGGCCCCTTTCAGGACATTCAAGAACCAATTTGCAATATACATAAGAATAAATATGTTTTCCACAGATTTCACAGATGCACACAGGATATCAAATCAATAAATTAGTTGTAAAATATTTGTGTTATGTGTAATAATTCTAAACACTAAGAAGACCTTTGAAATGATATTTTTCTTCAGGGGAATATTTCTTTTTTTTACCTCACCAGTTAGGAATCACTATTTCCTATTCAAATGAATTTGGAATTCTTCTTTTTAAAATTTTTATTTTTTATTTTTATTTTAATTGAAAGAGAGACAGATCTCCCACCTGGTGGTTCACTCCCCAAGCACACTCAACAGCCAAAGCTGGGCCAGGCTAAAGTCAGGAAGTCAATCCAAGTTTCCCATGTCAGTGTCAGGAACCCAGCTACTTGAGCCACCATCTGTTGCCTCCCATGGAACACATTAGCAGAAAGTTGGAGTCAGGATTGAGCTGGGACTGAAATTCAGGCCCTCCCATATGGCATGGGTGTTGCAAATAGCACCATAACCACTGTGCCCAATGCCTGCCCCTGGAATTCCTAATAGTCATTCTTATAGTCTGGGCATATAATGCTATATAATCAAGCATAATTTTTTCAATTTCCTTCTGGCCACCTCTACCAGAATACCTCGTTCTCATCCTCATTTGGGAGTTAGTTGGAGTGGGAAGAGTGTTCCATTCTGTTGGTTGGCCTTTTCAACGGCCTCCAAAGGAGACTCCATACAGAGGTGCCTCTTTTCAGACATGTGTCTTTCAGCCAGGGACCAAATGGTAGCTACCAAGACCAGATGCATGGGGTGGGGAGGGATCAAATCCTTTTGTACTTTCCTAGTTTAAATCTGTGCACTATACATAGTGTTCTGATTCACAGTGTGTTACATGCATTTGCACTTCTCAAATCAGGCTGGGCTTCTGAAAATACACATTTTTCTTTGCAACCTAGAATAAAGAGATAAATATCTTGCGGCTTAGCAAACACGAAAACAAAGCAAACAAAAACGAATGAAACAACAACACCAACAATAACAAAACAACATATTTTGGGACAATAACCTGTGGGGCTTTGTTCTTTATTTTTCCTTTTCTCAGAGTATTCTACCATTTTACCTATGGGTGTTTTTTCACTTGGGTATCTTAACCTTCTGAAGATAGATCTTTTACTGAGGCTCACCATGGTTAATCTATTTTACCTTCTATAAGAAAGTGAAACATATATGTGTGTGTGTATATTTACACTCACAATTTGAGACACAATAAGTTTATTCAGGTCTAAAAAGAAAGCAAATAATAGAACAATCAGTGTTATGCTGGTCAATGTTTAACCAATTTTCCAGGAAAAAAAAACTACGGATACACTTATGCAGAGAACTTGTGCAAGTACTCTCACCAGAACTGATTTCGAGCTGCCAACACCAGTTCCCTGGGCACCGATTTCAGAGAAGACATGCATAATCAGTGCTAACCCAGAACTAGCAGCTGCAGGCGAAACTCACAGGCCTCAGTCCTATTCATATCCACTATAACTCAACGAAATGGAAAACAATAGATTTGAATCAGGACAACTGGCTTTGAGTTTTGATTGGCTACTTCCAGGCCCTGTGAACTCAAGCAAACAACTTCCTTCCTTTTAATCCTGAGTCCTTCTTAATAGTGTATTTAAATCTTTCTCTTTAATTATTTCCCTTTGAACATTTTTCTACTTCTTAGCATGTTTCAAAACAAGTGTGAGATGTCATATTTATATTTGTATTACGATATAATGTGATGAAAATGTGAAATTCCTTGTTTAAGCATGAGAGATACATCAGACAAGTCCCAGTAGAACATACAATACCTGTCCAGTTCTCCTCAAAATTGCCAAGGTCATCAAAAACAAGGAAAGTACAAGAGACCTTTAGAGCCAAGAGGCACCTATTGAGACAGAGTAACTAAATGTAATGTGGTGTTCTGGACGGATCCTGGGATAGAAAAGGACATTATATCAATCTGAAAAGAACAATGAGTTTCAGTTAATAATATTCTACAATAGTACTTCAATAAGTTCATGGAAAATGGAATTAAGTTTACTTCAGCACAGAAGACTGAAATCCACGCACCAGTAAGATTTTCAAAAAGTTAATGGAAAAATAAAAGATATGAAATGGAAAGGTTGAGTGCCCAGAATGGTCAGTTTCAACTATACATATGTGCTGAAAAGTGTGCAAGGATTACATGCTAATCCACGATTACAGAAACAAAATACAACTGGGCAAACGTTTTATCCAGAGGTTAAGGTGCTGGGTCGGATGCCCAGATCTCATGTGGCAGTGCCTGGGTTCCAGCCTCAGCTCCTCTCGGATGCCAGCACCCTGCCAGTGTGAAGCAGCAAGTGATGGATGGCTCAAGTGGCTCCGTCTCTGCCCCCCACAGAGGAGACATGAACTGAGCTCTGGGTTCCTGGCTTGAACCTGTCAAAGCCTGGGCTGTTGTGGACATTTTGGAAGTGAACCTGGGGTGGGAGCTATCTCTGCCTACCTGTCTATCTATTCCTCTCTCTGTCTTTCTGACTCTGAAATAAACAAATTTAAAAACAACTAGAAAAGGAATTCATTTTTAAAAGTTCATAAAAAATGTGCTTTATGAAAACAATGCATAGATTTCAAAATTGCACCAAAATAAACCCGTTAATTTCCTTTTTCCATAAATTTTCTGAATTTCCTTCATATTGATATTTGATTTTTGAATCCTAACAAATCTGCCATACCAATATGAGATATGAGTAATAGGGGAAGGCAAGTATGAAATACATAGGCACTCTGCACTTTGCAATCTTTCTATAAACCTAAAGCTGTTCTAAAACATAACAAGAATAAAAATCACGTGTAAGCTTTGCCCATGTGATAAATATTTGAAAAGAATATTACATGAGGGGGCTTCAAAAAGTTGGGAGAAAATGGAATTAAAAGAGAATGTGAGTTTTCCATGAATTTTTTGAAGCCTGCTCACATAATGTTACCTTTGAATCCTTTTTGAGGGGAGAAGAGGGGGTGGGACAAAAGTTTCCAACTATTGAACCACTCTTCACATGATACATCTTCAAGTTCTGCCCACATAGTGAAGTTTGACAGTTCCCTGAATAAACACAGTTCTTCCACATTTGTGGGTGCTGATCAAACGCTTCAAGGATGAACAACCTTCCTTTGGCCTCTTTATCTGGCCAACTTCTGTCTGTTTTTCAAGCTCAGCTCAAACATCCTGTCCTCCTTGTGACAAATCAGATCTACTCCCACTGTTCTCTTTATCTCCTACGTTGAGTTACCTTTCCCCTGTGTGCTTTCATGGCATCCTGACACAGTTATTTCGTCATGCTGTGTTATAATGTTTGTTTCATCTGCTTCTTTTATTATACCGTGAGTAGAGGCCCTAAAAGCCCAAAGAAGGGAGACGGTAAAAATCAGCTGGATAAAGCGGGTCTCTGCGTGGACTTGGCTTGTCCCCACCTCCCTGTCGCTCATCCCCCTTTCACATACATGCCTGTGTCCCTCCTGGTTCAGAGGCTGCCTGCCCACCCTCCCTTTTCTTCATCTAATTCCTCCTTACATTTAATTCTCCATTTCCAGGATACACTCACCTCTGAAATCGGTTGCGTTTACAGCCAGGAGGACAGGAGGGCAGCCTTGATGTGTCTCACCTTGCTTTTCATGTGGTTTCAGTTTGTGTCAACTCAAGGCCCCTGGTCTTACGCTTGCATTCCCCACAGGTCACCTAGTATTTGGCTCACTCACAGGTGCTGATTGCCTGGTGTTCTGAGTTTCCCAGTTGACACTGAATGACCTTTTCCTGAATGCCTGAAACACTTGCATCCTATGCCAGTGTTCAGCATGTGATTATAACTTTCTTTGTTCATTCAGTGCTGTACAAACTTTTGTTTGTCTGCTTAACAATGCTGTATACATTTTTAGGGCATTGGTTGTTTTCCCTTATTCATTTTACTTTGCTCACAGTGTCTGGCAGTATACTGGAAACGTAATAGATACTTACTAATATTTAGGGGATTCATTCCGGAATAGCAGCATCAGGGGCTGGCAAAATGTTGAGCCCACTGCAACCTGAGCCCAGACTCTTGAGAATGGGACCTGGGAATCCTGAAAGAGCATTTTGTAGACTCATTTCCCGGGATTTTCCCCATGCAGGGAAATTATCTCTTAGCAATTGATTTCAGAAGTGCTCTAACGCAATGCTAATTTGAGCCCTGTGGCTAACTGAAGCCATTTTATAAAAGCATTCTTTCATGGGTGCAATTTCTTTTGTTTAATGTTAATCACTCTTTATTAATATAAAGGATACCACAGTAAAGTGGAAAAGTGTATTCTTATGTTGTCCAAAAATATTCATGAGTTACTGTCGTTCCTTTATCACATTTCTATTCTACATATTATACGCTATAGCAGTGGAAAGTTATACTTTCTTAATGAAAATGGAAAAACAGATTCTAAAAAAATTCTTTGTAATGTATCTTTTGCCTATTTGTCGTGTAAATCACTATAATAGTAAAGATTTCTCCACTCTATGCCATTCATTTTTTTTTGACAGAGTTAGACAGTACGAGAGAGAGACAGAAAGATCTTCCTTCCATTGGTTCACCCCCAAATTGGTGCTGTGACCGGAACTACGCCGAGCCGAAGCCAGGAGCTAGGTGCTTCCTCCTGGTCTCCCACGCAGGTGCAGGGCCCAAGCATTTGGGCCATCCTCCACTGCCTTCCCGGGCCACAGCAGAGAGCTGGCCTGGTAGAGGAGCAACTGGCTCTAGAACCCAGTGCCCATATGGGATGCCAATGCTGCAGGCGGAGGATTAATCAAGTGAGCCACAGCAACGGCCCCTCTATGCCATTCATGTTAACTGAAATTTGTTGAAAGTTCGGAAATTTGGAATCTGAATTGTTTAGACCATAAAGAACTTCAATATTCAAAAGTCCTTGTCTTATAGCTTTGATTTGAAAATTTTTCACCATGCAGATAACAGCACGAAATTAATAAATTGCAAAACTCAGAGAGATTATTCCAAATTCATCACTGGTATTTTTCTTTTTTTTAAATGTGTTTTTTTTTTGACAGGCAGAGTGGACAGTGAGAGAGACAGAGACAGAGAGAAAGGTCTTCCTTTTTGCCATTGGTTCACCCTCCAATGGCTGCCGTGGCCGGCGCACTATGGCCCGGAGCATCGAGCTGATCTGAAGCCAGGAGCCAGGTGCTTCTCCTGGTCTCCCATGCGGGTGCAGGGCCCAAGGACCTGGGCCATCCTCCACTGCCTTCCCGGGCCACAGCAGAGAGCTGGCCTGGAAGAGGGGCAACCGGGACAGAATCCAGCGCCCCGACCGGGACTAGAACCGGGTGTGCCGGCTCTGCAAGGCGGAGGATTAGCCTAGTGAGCCGCAGCGCCGGCCCAGTATTTTTCTTAATGAGCTCTGAAATAACGTCTCCGTTTTGTTGTGTTTCCCTGTGTTCCAGCTCTGCAGAATTGCTTTACTACCACTGGCGATCTAGCTCACTGTGCCATTATGTCGTCAAACATCTTTCCTACTTATTTTGCACATTACTATATTCCCTTCCAGACTCAAAATGCAAAAGTTCTGGAAAGACCTCCCTGGCCCTTCTACCCTGAGTGTTTTAAGTGTCAATCCCTTGTCCCCAGTCGTATGGTCATTCTCTGAATTACTGTGACAATGTCGCTTTTCACTTTTATTTGAGCAAATCTTGATGCAGTGCAGAGCATGATACGTACCCAGGGAAACCAGTCTAGTTTCTGTCACATTACATCATGTCTTTTTTCTCCTTTTGCATTTTTTCTTTCTTTTTTGCTAATTTTCAATATTGTGGTCAAGTAGATGTTCAGTGTCGAGTGTTTCCATCAATTTGTTTACCATTACTGCTGGCTGTATTTTTGCTCCATATAATTTATAAATCTTGAGTGTTATGTTTTTAACTATGTTAGTTCATTGAGATGTATACAATTAATTTATTTTAAAAAGACTACCAAAAATTGTTAAATACTTTGCATTTCATTTTTTAAAATATTCTGCCAGACTATGTTATGTTAGATATGTCAGGTAAACAGGGCATTTTTCAGGCTGCTTAGAGACAATGTAAATTGTAGGCTACTTTATTTCTATTGCTTGGTTTCTGTGTTGATTCTCTTCCTAGCCTTGGTTGGTTCTCCCTTTCTTTCTCTCCCTTTCTCCACACACACACACACACACACACACACACATTTTTATTTATTTTTTTTACAACATAAGGGACAATCCAAACAATTAAAGGGATAAAAATCCTTTTCAAGTTCGAACGTAATAAGTAAAATAAAATAAAACAGTCCTAAGACCTAAGAAGTCCTTCATGGATCCTTCCTACCTCCTGCTTTGCCCTAGCATCCCATCCTCAGTTGTCCCTGTATACCCTTTTTCTGTTCTCTGTATATCCTTTTTTATTATTAAGAAAACTTCATCTTCTACCCTGAAAGTTGAGGACAAACCTCAAATCCACCCTCTCATCTCCAATAGTGCAATCTGCAGCACACAATGGTACAAAAATATATTCCCTAGCATTCAAAACACAATAAAATAACACCGTTGGCCTTTGGCAAAATGTATGTATCTTCCAAAACAGTGGCAAATTGCAAGTGTTAGCAAAGTGTTCTAAGCTAAGCATGGTAAACCTTGGGTTTTGCATTATAGCTAAGAACTTTGATCCATCTTAGGGGAAAAATAAGTGTGCAAGTGAAATTTGTACTCATTAAATAAAAGGTTACTTTGAAAAAAAACTTAAAATATAAAAAAGATAAGTGTGCAGGTGCTCACACACATCTCCAAAGGTTTCTAATTCAAATTCATATAGAGAAAATGAATCTTGTACTAAAAGACAACACAATCTACATTCTTCTCTATCCATGCTAAAAAGTATTTTCTATGATCATGCAGAACAGTTTCAATCTCCTGTTTTCAGCTTTCTAATAATTTCTCAGTACACAAGAAGTAATGGCAACTTATAGTAGCACTCTAAGCCATCATCCTCACTCATAGAACTGCAGCACAGCATCTGAACCATTTTATTCACCAAGCACCACTAGACCCCTTATATCTTGATATAGAACTCCAATTGTGAAACTCTAGTTCAGGAAATACTACTGATTCGAGAAAGAGATTTATATATAAACAAGGTTTTTATAGTAATTAAAAACTAGTAATAGCTTAGATGCACAATATTAAGAAGTGATTAAAAAAATCAACTGTGTTGCATTTATTTGAAGAAATTTATTACAGTTACTAACATGGTATTTGTATAGGGCTTGTAAAGACATAGGACAAATGTCATGATATAGGAGACTATTTGTACTATTAAAGGGAAAAAGCGCATTGCAAAGTTACATTCGTAGCACAGTTTAAAAGTGTCAAAAATCCTATACACAGAAACTAGACTGCAAAGACTGATGGTAGATGATTACTTTCAGATTATAGGTGTGATTTCTTTCCTAATTTTCTATCTTAGCCAAGTTTAGATAGTGAGTTTATATTCTCATCTTTAAAAATCAACATTTAGGCGCTGATATTGTGGCCTAGCGGGTAAAGCCGCAGCCTGCAGTGTAGGCATCCCATATGTGCACCTGTTCCAGTCTTGTCTACTCTATTTCCAATCCAGCTCTCTGCTATGGACTGGGAAAGCAGTAGAAGGTGGTCCAAGTGCTTGGGCCCCTGCACCCATGTGAGAGACCTGGAAGAAGCTCCAGGCTTCGGATCAGCCCAGCTCTAGCTATTGAGGCCATTTGGAGGGTGAACCAGCAGGTGGAAGACTTTCTCTCTCTCTCTCTCTCTCTCTTTTTTTTTTTTTTTTTTTTTTGACAGGCAGAGTGGACAGTGAGAGAGAGAGACAGAGAGAAAGGTCTTCCTTTGCCGTTGGTTCACCCTCCAATGGCCGCCAGCATGCTGCAGCCGGCGCACCGCGCTGATTCGAAGCCAGGAGCCAGGTACTTAACCTGGTCTCCCATGGGGTGCAGGGCCCAAGCACTTGGGCCATCCTCCACTGCACTCCCTGGCCACAGCAGAGAGCTGGCCTGGAAGAGGGGCAACCAGGACAGAATCTGGCGCCCCGACTGGGACTAGAACCCGGTGTGCCAGTGCCGCAAGGCGGAGGATTAGCCTAGTGAGCCACAGCGCCGGCCGAAGACTTTCTCTCTCTCTGCCTCTGCAACTTTGCCTTTCAAATAAATAAATAAATCTTTAAAAAAAATCAACATTTAAAAATATAATTCCTAACATATAAGATAAATAGTTAATAGTAAAATTTCATTTGCATGCAATAAAAACCTGAATACTTTTGAACATTTAACTTTTAAGAACATCAAATAAAATAATAATTGAAAGAAATAGCAGGAAATGAATACAGGCCTAAAAATGTATTATATTCACTTCTCTAGGGATTTGAAAACAAATACTTATAGAAAATTTTAAGCTTTACAAGGGCAGCCACCACGTCCAGCACCATGGATAATGCTTAGCATGTAGAAGGTGTTAATGAATAATGGTTGGATAATTGACTGATATTGAAATGATGGTAAAGAAAAGGTAAGCTTAGTGAATAGCTGTTGATTTGTCTGTTGAGCTGCTATTCTTTCTTCTCCTGACTGTAGCACACAATTGTCTTGGGGCAATGGCTTCTTCTAGGCTTCTTGGGCATGTGATGTAGCTATTACTCCATGACTGTTGGCTTATGTGCAAGGTCTGGGTCAATGGTCTGGGTCAATTGTGTTTTGCTCAAACTGTTGGGAGAAAGGCATGCTCTTTCAACAGTGGATTGCTAAGCCAATAGAACATATCTTTAGCCCTATTGGTGGCCATCTTTGCCTCTGCATTGAGAAAGCTGAATGGTAATGAAACCAGCACAAAGAAAGGCAGAGCTAAGTGGTGGTGACAACTTTTGCCTGAATTTAGGATACCCCTGAACTTCCCAGTTACATGCCCTAGCAAATTTCCTTATCCTTAAGGATGAGGGAATTTTGTTTTGTTTAGTTTCTCTTGAGTAAGTTTGAGTTAGGTGTGTATGCTGAATAGAGTTTAAATCATCTAGCCATGTGTGCTGACATTTCACTTTATAAGTCTGACAGTAGTTTTGATAATAATTGGGAATGGTCACTTTATGTAAAATTAATCAGTATTCTATGAAAACAGCTTTAAGAGACCATTGCTAGTAATTACCAGATAACATTCTGTACTCATAATTTTTAATAACACTTTATCCAGATAGCTTACTAGTCTAGTGAAATTTAAGGTGCTTTCCACTGCAGTATATTTGCTACCATAGGACTCCAAATGACTTTATAGCCAAGATTTCTTTTTTTCTTTGCTCATACACTGTTCTCGTACTGAGATCGCACTTCCTGACTTTAGTGTTGTAGTTTCTGTTATCTTCAACCACGTGCATTTAACATGAAGTGCCTTGTCGTGATTCATCAACATGCACGGCGTCCTTGTCAGTCTATAGCCCTAGAATGAACTGAGTCACCTGATGGAGATTGTGGCTATACCTGTAAATGGCTGTTTTGAGACTTTGAGGCTATTCATAACCAGCTCTTTCTGCAGGCTGGCTGTGCACAAACAACTCTTCTGAAACTTGTCCTTCTATTTTCTTAAAACACGTTCATTAAATTAATAGATATGTGTATTTTCTTAATGTAATTTAATCTAAAAACTAAAGAAATGCAAGGGTCATGTTGATCTTTACATTTGAATTCTCTGACCATAAATCCATGAAGGAAAAACCAATTATAGAAAATTTATATATTTAAATGAACTATTTATTCTGAACAGAGAATTCAATGGTCTATTCTTAACTTGTCCTTTAATTTTTCTCCGAATTGCTCAGGTACTTAATATTGGCTATGGTGCCTCCTTTTACTCTATCTTTTTTTTTTTTTTTCGACAGGCAGAGTTAGACAGTGAGAGAGAGAGAGAGACAGAGAGAAAGGTGTTCCTTCTGTTGGTTCACTCCCTAAATGGCCGCTACAGCCAGCGCTGCGCCTATCAGAAGCCAGGAGCCAGGTGCTTCCTCCTGGTCTCCCATGCGGGTGCAGGGCCCAAGCACTTGGGCCATCCTCCACTGCCTTCCTGGGCCACAGCAGAGAGCTGGACTGGAAGAGGAGCAACCGGGACAGAACTGGCACCCCAACCGGGACTAGAACCCGGTGTGCCAGTGCCGCAGGCAGAGGATTAGCTTAGTGAGCTGTGGCGCAGGCCTCTTTTACTCTATCTTTCAAACTCTTTTGTGTGTTCTCCTTTAAGAAATGTGCCTTTTAAAAAAATCCCATTTTTTTGTCCTCTTTATCCTTCCTGTACAATGCTCTCTCCTAGCAGAGGTCAGTGTCTGGTATCGGGGCCCTTAGATAATTGTTCAATTAATAAATCTGGTTGTATATCTTTTTTTAAAAGATTTTATTTATTATTTATTTGAGAGGTAGACTTAAAGACAGTGAGAGGGATAGACAGAGAGAGAGGTCTTCCATCAGCTGGTTCACTCCCTAAATGGTTGCAATGGCTGGAGTGGAGCCGATCCAAAACCAGGAGGCAGGAGCTTCTCCCATGTGGGTACAGGGGCCCAAGCACTTGGGCCATCTTCCACTGCTTTCTCAGGCCACACCAGAGAGCTGATCAGAAGAGGAGCAGCCGGCCTAGAACCAGTGTCCATAAGGGATGCCAGCGCTTCAGGCGGAGTATTAACCTACTGCGCCACAGCACCGGCCCCACTGGTTGTATATCTTTAAAAAACTTGCAGAAACAAACATGCAGAGAAAAATAAGAGCAATGCTTTGGTGGCAGACAGACCTGGATTGGAATACCTGCTTCTCCACTTTCTGTAAATCTAAGCACAAAGGGCAAGCACTTACCTTACTCCATGGCATTTCATCCTCCCCTAAAAGGAGCCCTCTTTGGCCTGTTGGGAGGAGTCACAGAAATGTCTATCATGAATCCTAATTTGCAGCAGCGGTTCAGTAACTTTGAATTCTACTTCTTTCTATATATCTCAAAGTAAGCAGCTAACATCTGAAAATCTTTACTGTCCTCCCCTAAGTTCCATCACAGCTGCTGAGTGCAATCAAAATTTTTGAGCTCACTCACTGAATTATTCCCAATTGAAGAGTTTTAAAATTAATGTTAAGGAGCCAGCACTGTGGCATAGCAGATAAAGCCACTGCCTGCAATGCTGGCATCCCATATGGGCACCGGTTCGAGTCCCGGCTGATCCACTTCCTATCCAGCTCTCTGCTATGGCCTAGGAAAGCAGTACAAGATGGCTCAAGTCCTCAGGCCCCTGCACCCACGTGGGAGATCCTGAAGAAGCTCCTGGCTTCAGATCGGTGCAGTTCCAGCCATTCTGGCCAATTGAGGAGTCAACCAGGGGATGGAAGATTTTCTCTCTCTACCTCTCCTCTCTCTGTGTAACTGACTTTCAAATAAACAAATAAATCTTAAAAAATTAAATTAATGTTTAAAAAAAACACCTAAACTTGCTGACATCGTTGTATCGTTAGATCAGATTATGAAATCCTGTATGCAATGTGCAAGTGGTTAGGGTGAATGGAGGGATTTTAGAGAGACATGATTTCCTTGAAAATAAGATAAGGACAAAAAAAAATGGCTTCATGTGTAACAAAGGGAAAGCAGTGTGGAAATTGTATCTGACTCTTCACTATTTCGCTTTCCTGAGGTGTACGCTGTGGCGAGTTCTCTGTGACTCTTGGATGACAGTAGACAGACTGTGGGAGCAGACGCAGGCATGCGCGAAGTTGCTGGGTCCCTGGCTGAGCCAGAGCGCAGGATGCGGCAGACTACACCTAACCGCTCCGATGAGGAGATAAGCACGCTGAATGTGATTACACAGGCTGTGTCCCCTGATCTGCCAATGGCAGCTGAGCAGGCATCACCTCCTTGCAGGGAGTTCGTGCACAATTTATGTTGTACCCAGGGGGCAAGGCAGGTTAATAAGGCCAGGAAGGAGGGGAGGCCGTAGGAGGGGGTAATGACTGGGAAGGACTTCCTCGCATGGACCTGGGGGGAAGGAGGAGGGCTGAGGGTGGAGGGTGTTCCCTCCCACTTGGGCCTATGTGTTAAGTGGCAGGGGAAATTTTGAAAGCTGCTGTGAGGAGGAGCTAGTGACTGGGGTTGGGGTGTCCTGCGCCTCACTCTCCCCACTTGTGGGCAAACCTCTTTACATCCAGAGGGAAGTGAATTGGAAGAGGAAGACTGATCAGCCTCTAGGAGCAAAGCAATCCTCCTGCTGCCACCTCTTGTCCTCTGTCCCGCGCCTCCTGACTGTCTTCCAAAGCAAGCTCCGCTGGGCCAAGGTGGCGCAGCAAGTCCTGTCCGAGGGCCCTCATCTGCATCCCAGGCTTCCCTCTTCTCTGCTCGCCATCCCTGGCCTTCGGGACTGCTTGTGATGGCTGTGGCCTGCGCCGCCCCAGGGAGCATCTTCTGTAGGCAGCTCCTTTTCTCTCTCCTGGTGAGTAACTACCAGAGGATTAGGGAACCCAAGCGTGTTACTGCCCGCTCGCTGCTCCTTCCAGCTGGGGCGTGTGAGAGAGTAGAGGAGGGGCTGGGAGGCCAGGGAAAATGTAAACAGGTCTGAGAAAAATTCAGGGAGAGTGGGGAGACCTGTGGTCCAGGGAGGACAGTGTCCAGCACCCGCTGTCAGGATGTCCAGGTTTCTCAAGGGAATGCCTTGTGCAGTCCCGCTGGGTGGGGCGCTTTTTCTAGGGAGTTGTGGGATGAAAACTTTCCTCAGGCATTCAGGCAAGAAGATTCAGAAGTTTGCTTTGCTATTAGTTGTTCGATAAGTTCCTATTATTCAACGTGCTGAGTCCCATTGTGTTGCAAGAAGAGGAAAAGGATTCTGGATATGAATTATTCACGATTTTCTTCATTTTACTCAGGAAGAGCTAAGAGGAGGGCAGCACTCAGTTTCAGCAAGCAATTTGACTTAAGAACAATAACAAAGAAAGATGTGACGTCACTGGAAATAGCATTAACGCCTTTCACTTGGTGTTTTAACAGCTTTGCAACCCTCATTAGCTTGGCTTTTTTTTTTTTTTTTGTCTTGGTGGGGATGGAGGAGAGGAAGTTGTTTCACATCTCCATCCAGCATTTCTGAGCTGTGAATTCCCTTTCTTTGCTTTGTTTTAGCAGAATACTTTAGCTTAAAATTATATTTTCAGTATTGGAAGTCCTTCCTGTATGGGGATAAACATTCTCCACATAAATAATCCGTGATGCAGCATCACAGGTGAATTTCTCATCCTGCAACTGCTTGAGTAAAACGGAACTCCAAGACCGTCTTGAGTTAGTGGATAAGATTCTACCCAGATTTCTCGCGGTTTTGGTCCCTGTCTTGTTCAGTATCCTTTGACTCATCCCATGCCCATTTGTCCCTAACCCCAACATTGACCAAAAAGATGTCTGACCACAGCTCCATCACTAAAGCCACTGATTTGTCCTGAAGACTGGAATAGGACTTCATGACAGGAATCCTCCACTGGCTCTGCCTGCAGAGGGGCCCCAGCACAGGGATGAAAGATGAGGGTGAGGGTGGAGAGTGAATAAGCTTTTCTGTATGCAAATATATGTGTGTTTGCACATATTTATATACGGATATACAGGGTAGGTATATGGGCAGATAGACGCATATGTAAGTTCTTATGTTTTTAATTGTGAAATGCTTCTTCAACATTTTACATTTAGAGCACTACTAATAGCATGCTTTATGCTCAAAAGTTCTTTAGATATAAATTAAGTGCATTCTTTAACATTAGGAATAAACATACAAAAAATTACTTCACTTTGATAAGAATGTATTTTTTTAAAAAAGCAGTTATTTAAATTAAAGCAATGCAAATATGACTTTTACTATTTTTGTTTTTTTGTATTATCCACCTGAGAAGGGTTTATAGAATTGTAAACCATGTAAATAGACTGCTACCATATATGCAGTAAACTTGAAGTAAGTTGGGAAAGAAGTGCAAATCCTAATATGAGTGTTAGTTTCTTTTCTTCCCTCAATGCAAACAATATATCTGTAATTCTAGAAATATATCATCAGAGAAAAACTGGTCATAAAATTGGCCTGTAAGTTGATTTAAAGACTCAAAAACAGTCATTTGATAAACAGAGAGAAAACAGACAGAAAATGAATGACATTTACAAATGGTCTTGGATGTAATAATCTCTACAAAAAGTCAGTGAATTAATGGTAACTCATTTTCTCACAATTATACAATATAATTTACATGCCAAGAACTTCACTTTATTTCATTTTTTAAACTGATTCTAAATAGCTGTGGTATCCCTAAAACCACTTTCTTGGCTATTCCCTTTTGTTTTTAAAAAGATTTTATTTATTTATTTGAGAGGGAGAGTTATAGACAAGGAGAGGGGAAGACAGAAAGATCTTCCATCTGCTGGTTCACTCCGCAAATGGCCTTGGTGGCTGGAGCTTGGCTGATCCTAAGCCTGGCGCCAGGATCTTCTTCTGGGTCTCCCATGTGGGTGTAGGGGCCCAAGCACTTGGGCCAGCCTCTACTGTCCCAGACCATAGCAGAGAGCTGGATTGGAAGAAGAGCAACCATGGACACTAACCAGAGCCCATATGGGATGCCGGCACTGCAGGCTAGGCTTGGCTACTCCCTTTTAAAATGAATATTTCAGAAATTAAAATATTAAACTTATTTCCAAAATTGACAATATTTTATCAGTAGGTCAAAAGTGTAATGTAAAAATATGCGGACAAATGCAATTCCTGAGTTTTTTCTTTCTTTTGAGGTTCTGCTATTATTTTGCGATGCTTGTCAGAAAATATCTCTTCAAGTTCCTTCTCATCTTCAGGCTGCAGCACTTGTAGGCAAAGGTGAGAAATTGTATTAAACATTTAGTAGTTGTAACTTGGTGCATTAGCATCAGATTGCTCTTGTAATGTTAGGTCTAAAACCTATGTGGTAGCTACTTGGCATTAATATTGGGCATATAATGAAAGATAGGCTACTTGATTTTTGGTGGTAGTTAAAAATAATTAAAATACCAAGGTTACTGTATACTTTTCTTGTCAGAAAGATTAGCACACACTAGAGTGCTAAATTATTATGGCTTAGGCCAAAGTCAAGGTTGTTTAATTGGTTAGACATGAAAAGAATGTCTCAAATGTAAATGCCAATATAAAATTTGTAACTGAGGTTGATCACAATGCATATGCACGTACCAAGAATTTATTTGATTTATTTCGAAACATATATTGTGAATGACAAATAAAATTTTGGTGGATCTTACATCCAAAGCCATTTCTGAAGGACAGGACAGGACAGGTTGGTTATTCTGAGTCCAAAGGTGACTTCTTTTCATCAAGGTTTTTCGCTGGCCTTGAGTTTTCATTTGGAAAGCAAACTTTGACACTTGAAGTGCTATCCTTTTCCAAGACAGACATAGTTTTATCTAATGCCTTTTATCTAATGCCTTGGTTTTAAATGTCTATAAACTAATTTAAATACTTAAAAAGATAGGTAGTTATACTGTAAAGACACACAGTAAAGACACTAAATATGTTAAATTTGAATCTGAATAGGAAATATTTTGATGATAACCATGCACATATTAAGCATTACATTTATCAAGTCTTAAAAAAGATGTGTTATAGAAATATTATTTTCTTTTTAAAAGAATTTTATTTATTTATTTGAGAGCCAAAGAAGCAGAGAAAGCTAGACAGAGACAGGGCTCCCATCCACCAGCTCACTTTCCAAAAGCTGGCAACAGCCAAGTCAAAACCAGGTGCTGAGAATGCAATGCAGGACTCCCACCTGGGTGGGAGAAACTCAGTTACTTGAGCCATCCTTGCTGCTTCCCAAGATCTGCATTAGCAGGAAGCTGGAGTCAGAAGCCAGAGCCCAGTATCAAACCAATATTCCAATGAGGGATGCAGTTGTCTTAACTGATCGATGTCTTAATCACTCGGCTAAATTCTCTCCCCACTAAGATTATTTTCAGTATTACAGAGGACTATTACTTTAAAATGGACCAGTGTACTTACTTGTAGCCAGGCAGTTATAGTTGTTGAAGATGTATTGCAAACATGTCCAAAATCTACTGATTTGTCATACAAATATAATACATATTTTATAAAACAAAAGTATCTCTCTGTGCGTGCACACATACACACACACATGCACACTATTCCTTAACCTACAATATGTTGATATCCTGAAAAATCTGTTGAAAGTTCAACATGGATTTTTATACACTTGATCTACCAAACATCATAGCTTGGCAACACAGCACACTTCTGATTATAGGGTTGATCACTGCCCAATATCCTGAGAAGGCTACCACATATCACATTTTACTAGCACAGAAAAATATCCAAATTCATAATTTCAAGTAAATTTTCAGCTAAATGAATATGGTTTTGCACCATCATAAAGACAAGCAGTTGTCAAGGTGAAGACCCCACACAAACACACACACACACACACACAAATCCATAAATAAGAGATAAGGTGGAAACAAAATAAATTCAGTGACATTAGGAAAATATTTTATTTCTTAAGTTAACTGATGATGAGAGAGCTAGAAAATACAACTCCATTGACTTAGGTGTTTAATTTTCATGGCCCTACGTTTTAGAACAGCAGGTGCTCAAGTGGAACCACCCCTCTGTCTGTATGTCATGCACCAACTTGCAGTTGCCAATCCTGTGCAACTTGTTTTATTCCTGTTTTATCTGACAAATTGCTGTGAAATTTCTTCCCTGCAGTGAATCTGGAGGAGTGTCTCAAGTCAGCCAGCCTAATCCTGTCTAGCGACCCTGCCTTTCGAATTCTAGAAGATGGCTCAATTTACACAACGCGTGACCTCATTTTGTCTTCTGAAAGGAAGAGCTTTTCCATTTTTCTCTCAGACTATCAGAGACAGGAACAAAAAGAGATAGAGGTTGAACTGTCAGCCAGAGGAAAAAAGGTATAATCGGCAAGATCTTCAGTAATTTAGTATTTTAATCAGCATGTGAGAGTTTTTTCATTTTATACTCCTCCTTTCAGGTTAGAATCATTGTGCTTAACTGACCATTTGTTGTTCTTTTCCACTTATATTTAATATGCATACAGACTAGACTATTAAGACATAGTAGAGCTATTTGCAAAAGTGTGTGAAGATGAAGGACTCTGGCCAGAAAGTCAAGTCAGAATATCAGAGGTTTCAGAGAGTGTATTGAGTTGTGGCAGCAAGAATAACCAACCTGAAGAACAAGGACAAGGTAGGGCGGATATCAAACTCAGTGAAAAGTGACACTCCACCCATGTGGCTCTCTCCCAACCCATGGTGGTTTGAGTCACAATGAAAAGGAGATGAGATTGTCTAAAGCTTACTCTCATCTCCATAGAGAATTACAGAAGTCCCTCTCTTCAGAGAGTGGAGGCACAGCCAGTTTACAGGATTGGCTTGAGGCTTCAGTGTTTTGACGCTGGGCTGTTTTTCTTGGAATGACTGGTGGTGATAGGACCAAGAAATGGGGAATGGAGAGGGTTGTTGGAACTCACATCTCACTTAGAGCAAAATCAGCAAATGATTTTGGTCTATAAAAATCTATTTATTAAAATGCGATTCAATTTAAAAGAGGGTTTCCCAGTTTGATTCCTTCTGATGACAGAAACTCCACTGAATTTAGAACTTGCTTTAGGCTTGTGAAACATGATTTTATATACTAGTTGTAAAGAGTCTGCAGAATACATAAAATAAAACATACTGAACAAATGCTGCCTTGTGTTTTTATGTGGGTATATAAATACTTGCCCTGTAATAAGGATTTGAGCAGATTTGGGTTGTGCCATGCCTAGTGGAATAAAATCAACTTTTAAGTATTTGTTGATGGATTATCCATTTTAGGGAGATCTATAGTCTCCAGGTGGGATCTTAGAGATTTCTGACTGGTTAGGTGGTTGAATCAGCAAATAGGTGGAACTGGAAAATATAATGCAGTTTGAAGTCTAATTTTTGTGTCGGTTTCTGTATGTTTGTCTCTCGTTATAAAATACAGAAATACTACAGAGAATATTTACAACATTGCTATGTGTAACTCCTTACTTATTTTCTCTACATTTCTTTGCTTCTCATCAAATGTAGACCATTAGGAAAAGGCAGACCAAAGACACAGTCCTCAGGCGCAGTAAGAGAAGATGGGCTCCTATCCCATGTTCTCTGATGGAGAACTCACTGGGTCCATTTCCACAGCATGTTCAACAGGTACATTTCATCTTAGTTGATTTTATAGATGTCAATTTTTTGTTGATTAATTTTTCATTTAATTGCATGTTATGTGAATCAAGTAGAAATAGGGTGATTATTCACTGGAACTATGATCACATAGAACTGATCCAATATAGTTCTAATTTCCAAAAATCATTTTTAGTTATTGAGAAATGTGTTTTATATTTTTATATTTTTATTCTCTGAAGTTCATTAGTAGGCATTCAAATTTATCCAAATACTATGCTAGGACTTTCATCACTCATGAAAAGCAGACATGCCTACAAAATTGCATAATTTATTTTTCACTTAAATTAGCATTTATCTTCCAAAAAATGCCCACTGCTCTGTTTCCCAAGTAAGACTGTGTGTCACATAGGTGGAATGCAAACATGTGGTGATTTTGAAATTTTGCATTTTCAAAGAATTAATTGTGGAAGAGATGTTGCATTGCAATTACCATACATTTTTAAATGATGTAATTATCAATTCCAAATAATTCAGCATCACTGAAAGTGTTCCTACACTTTACAGAGGAATAAGAATAAGTCACTAGGAGTGGTAATGGTGTATCATTCCACAAGTTTTATAAATATATGCATGATAAAAGAATTTAGGAACAAGCAAGTGATGTGACTGCATGTTGAAGAAGACAGATGAAAATTTGGAAAACATAAGCAGAGGCAAGAAAGAATAGATGAGTAAGAAAGAGAGTTAGTGATTAAAAATTATTATAAGAAGTTAGGTTGAAGATACTTATTGCAATATATTTGTTCTTTACCTAAATTGTCACTTATTATTTTAGATCCAATCTGATGCTGCACAGAATTATACTGTCTTTTATTCCATAAGTGGACAAGGAGTGGACAAAGAGCCTTTCAATTTGTTCTACATAGAGAAAGAAACTGGAGACATCTATTGTACACGAAGCATTGACCGTGAGCAATACGATAAATTTGAGGTTGGATTACTGAAATATTTATTCAGAATTATATCTGTTACTGGTTTATTAATATTTCCAATTCTGCTTATATATATTTTAAGTATTATCAACATGCAACGCAAACTTCAAAATTTCTATTGGTGCCATTGATGAAGCAAAACAGTAAATATAGTAAAATCAATAAACCTAACGGAAAGCCTAAAAAATATGACATGGGGCAGATATTTATTGCAGTGGTTAGAAAACCTTGCTTGGGATTCATGCATCCCTTTTCAGAGTGTTTAGGATAGATCCCAGCTCCACTGCCAACCTCAGCTTCCTGCTACTGTGTCCCTAGGGAAGCAGGAGGTGGTGGCTCAAGTGGTTGTATTCCAAGTGGGAGTGCCCAGATTCTGACTTGATTTGGCCTCTGCTGTTGTGAGTAAAGGATTGGCGCTGTGTCTGTCTTTCTCTTCCTATCCGTCTTTCTGTTGTTCAAATAAATAAAAAACTCAAAATTTAATAACAATTTTGACAGACTTTTATCTGTGGAATCATAGGGAAGTAACAGAATTTTATTGAGTTCAAAGTTCTCTATAATAAAACAGCCCAATTACTCTCAACCACGGCTATATATTATAAACCACATGATGTTGTTCTGGGTTGGGACTCCATAATCCAAGGTGATTCTAAATGTGTGCTAGTGTTAGATTCATGGCTTCAGCCCTTCTACATAGTGCTGTGCTGGTTTCCTCTGCTCTCTCTCACTGTTCTTTGCCAACGAGATCCTTGGGTGCTTTTTTACTTCCTTAATAATCCAGAACAAATTTACCAATCCATCCTATTCTATCTTATCCTACCAAAGACAATTTCTAAATTCTCTGAAAAGTAACTCCTTGTTTTGTTTTAAATGTCACACAAATCTTTGGTGTTCAGATGTCTAACCTGATGTACAGGAGAAAATCATAGTGAGTCTTAGGAATGATGGTGAATAATATTAATTAAATTAATAGTATTGTCTTCAATTTATAAGAGTGAAGAACTGACTTGTAAAATGAGAATATAAAATAGAAATTATCTCATAATAGGGGATCCAGGGACTAGTATCTTAGCAGACATCTGGAAGATGAGTAGGAGTTGGTGGTCACATCATGACAGCATAACCATGACAGTAATCAATTGTGAGGAAGCCAAATGCATAACTAAATGTTCTAGAAGACATATCAGCTATAGAAAGTTCTACATCTTAAAAAGAATCAACAGCAACAACAACCACAAACCTTGGTTGGAGTGTTGTTTGAAACTGCTTAAAAATAGTCCATTCAAGCAAAGATCCTTAGGAACCCTTTTTGATCTTTTTATTTATATGCAAAATAAATACTTGGTAAAGACTATGTCAGTTCTCTGCTGTTTTTGCAGTTGTTTTACAAGAAGACAAGGTGTCACTCTAGAATTTACTCTTAAGTATTAAAAAGCTGCCTACTCTGCATTTGGCAATCTGCATTTTATTTTCTGTTCTGCTGATCAATCATTTGATAGGATCTTGTTTGACAACCTGCTATATATCTGCTTTGTATCATGATCATCGGTGGAAGGAGAGAGAATAGTTTAAATTTTTTTAAAAACTTGTTTTGCAATTTTTAACTTTGTAAAAAAACAAATAAAATAGTTTGAACTTTATGCTGAAAGTTAGGCTTTTAAATAATTTTCCTTTCAGAATTACTTGTGCTTTCTTAATTCCCACTAACACAGGTAACTGGCATTAAGAGAGACCACTTGCAAATTAGGAAAATTCTTTAATTTAAGTATAGCTTCAAAATATCAACATGATGCAATTATAAAATCGCTTGAGGTGGAATGGAATAAAAGGCTTCTCTGTCAAAGGAGAAGTTAAAATTTAAATATGCCTTATAAAACAATATATCTTTGTAATAGTTTTCTATTGAATCAAATTTCATCAGTTTTTTTTAGATGGTTTATTCTTGTGGAAATTAGTAGATGTTAAGTATCTACTAAATTAGCAGATGTTAAGTATTCTTAGGCACCTCACAACCTTTATGATCTGTTTTCTTCTCTGTTATAGGCTCCTAACGTCTTACATCACTCAGAGTGGTTGTAATCATTAAATGCCACAATATTGGTGCTTCTCAATGTTGGTGCTATCTTTAGAGATATTCTAATGGTAGATGAAACAATGCACATGCTCTAAGATTTTGTCCTCAAATCTGGAGATTTTGATGCAATTTCCAATTTACTTTCATGTAATCTATATAAATGTTAAATATTAATGATATATTATTATTTGAAACAAGCTGATTTTGTAGATTATGAAAAATAGTAGTCAAGTGTTCAATTCAATGCATACCTTTATTGTGCCCCTGTTCTTGCTATTGCCTCCTGTTGTATTGTTAAATCTTGGCATCTGAAGATTTTTCTGAGTCGCATACTATTATAATTTGAGGAGTTGGTCTTAAATCGTTAAATTTATCTAATTTGGGGCCGGCGCCTCGGCTCAATAGGCTAATCCTCTGCCTGCGGCACCGGCACACCAGGTTCTAGTCCCAGTCGGGGCGCCGGATTCTGTCCTGGTTGCCCCTCTTCCAGGCCAGCCCTCTGCTGTGGCCAGGGAGTGCAGTGGAGGATGGCCCAAGTGCTTGGGCCCTGCACCCTGTGGGAGACCAGGAAAAGCACCTGGCTCCTGGCTTCGGATCAGCACGGTGCGCTGGCCGCGACGGCCATTGGAGGGTGAACCAACGGCAAAGGAAGACCTTTCTCTCTGTCTCTGTCTCTCTCACTGTCCACTCTGCCTGTCAAAAAAAAAAAAAAAAAAAAAAGACTTAAATTTATCTAATTTTTCAGAGAGTCATGTAAGGTTGTTTTCTCAAGATTGGCATAGAACAGTTCTATAAGAAAACTTTCTTCAACAATACCGAGTTATTCTTTAAAACAGAGTAGTAGCAAATATCTTTCCTTTTTTTTTTTTTTTTTTTTTTTTTTTTTGACAGGCAGAGTTAGGCAGTGAGAGAGAGAGAGAGACAGAAAGAAAGGTCTTCCTTCCGTTGGTTCACCCCCTAAATGGCCGCTACGGCCGGTGGGCTGCACCGATCCGAAGCCAGGAGCCAGGTGCTTCCTCCTGGTCTCCCATGGGGTGCAGGGCCCAAGCACTTGGGCCATCCTCCACTGCCTTCCCGGGCCACAGCAGAGAGCTGGACTGGAAGAGGAACAACCAGGACAGAACCTGGCGCCCCAACTGGGACTAGAACCTGGGGTGCCGGTGCCGCAATTGAAGAATTAGCCTAGTGAGCCGCGGCGCCGGCCCAAATATCTTTCCTCTTTGAGTGTTGTGGAAGATCTGTACATTTAAAAACTCAGTTTCAATCTGGTTCCTTCTTAATCTACCAGAAACTTACTGTCTTGCAACATTATTTACTTTTCCAGGCATACGAATCCATCTACTCTTTTCTGTATGTGCCACTAAGTCATGTTCTATACACATTCAGCTTGGTGTCACCGCTTTCCCTGTTCCTCTGCTCAGTCTACACTACATGTTTCTCACTGCAAGATCAAACTCAATTCTCAACTCCTGTTAACAGCTGTTTGGATTTACTTGAAGATAACATAAATTTAAGCAAAATACAGTGTGACAGAACTGAAAATGCTGAGGTTTTTTTCAAGCTATAGAAGAATCATAAGGGGAAAGGATTTCACAGTAATGCACACATGACATTTGAATAGCACTCTTGTAACCTAGCTAAAATATGATTAATCATATTCTTTATTATTCTTATTATAGCAGCATTTAAGTATATTGCTGTTGCTTTTAATGCAGAACAATTAGAACTAGTATGCAAACCACTGCTTTCAAAGAGCTTAAGTGTTGTTTTAATGACTAAATAAGAAACTACTTCTAAGTAATTACTCTATTTTATGAACATAAGTGTATTCTCCTAAAGAGTTTGGCTATGCTTTCAATTCAATTATTTCAATTCAAACTACATTCCTAGTTTAGATTATGTTGTTTATAATAATGATTCAATTATGACATATTTTGGAGATACTTGACTCACTATTAGCAAAAGATAAAGCCAGGATTTAGCCTGAAATGAAATCATTCACCCAAATTAGTAGAATGTGAAATAATATTTCAAACTACAAGTGATAGCATGGTTGGATGCAAATGAACTTCATTTCCACTGAAGAGAAAATGCAACAAAAATCACTGTAAATTAAGGAAGGAAGGATAGACTTAGTTTAGGTAAAGAGATGTTTTAATGTCACTGTCATGAGGGGAAAGAATCCATTAAAAGATGTATAATAGAAACCTTATGACAATTTTTACAGAGGGCAAACTTAAGGAATGCTTTCCTAATAAGAAAAAATGGGTTGAACTGAATGAAAAAAATAGGATATTTACTGAAGATGTACCTAATGTAAGGCTCTGTGTTACTCTAGTAGGTATTTCAGGAATGCAAATATCAGTAAGTCTAGGACTATGCCTGAGGACAATTGTAATCTAAGGAGATAATTAACAAATCTTCATGATTTTTTAAAATGTTACATTTTCCTTCACCACTAGGCATATTTGTGTGTATAATTTATCATTTGAGAAGAAGCTGATGGCTTTTATTCCTTTCAGGTCTATGCCTATGCAATAACCCCAGATGGCTATGTACTTGAGTATCCACTCCCCTTGTTTTTCAAAGTTGAAGATGACAATGATAATGCTCCATATTTTGAAAACAAATTGACAGTCTTTAGTGTTCCTGAAAATTGCCGATCTGGTGAGTTCACATTTTATAGTGTTATGATATGAAGATTATTTGATAGTTCATTAAGCATTGTAATTAAAATGGTTTAATGTAATTGCATTTCATTCATTTGTTGGGATTTCTGATTATTTAGACATTTTTTCCACTATAAATAGAATTTACATGGCTTTGCTCTCAATAACCTTTGATTACTCTGAACTCTTAAGACTCTTCCTAAAATAAAATTCCATATATTTCCATTTTATACAATGGCTTTATAATTCTAGCAATAATTATTTGACTCAATTCTCTGTAGGAGGGGGTTGTTGTTGAAATTGGTATTTGGTTTACATATGTATGTTTAGAAAATCTGGAATGCAGGGAAGGTTGCTCAGTTTTTCCATTGGACGAAATCACTTCTTCAGTATAAAAAGAATTAGCCAGGGATTCATAGAGTATGACAAGAGAGTTACAGGTAGGCCAACAGCCATCTTGTCTTCCAGCAAAATGAGAGGTTATTTTTTCATTCATTCATTTATTCACTATTTGTTTTATTGCTTATTATTTATTGAAGGACTTGTGAAAGATTCGATGTAGGAAAAACTGAACTTTCCCATTAAATTCAGGAAAATAGAGTGATATAACAAAGATATAGAAAAGTCCATTTTATGGTGTGAAGCAATGTTTTTAACAGACATTTGAAATTTGAAGAGTTTGACTTTTCCAGGCTATGTTTGTATAACACTAGTTTTTGTTAAAAATTTTATGTATTGTTTTTCTGATTGCCTTTATGAAATGACCAATGGGTATTAGTTTTCATTTTAACCTAAGCTGTTGCAATATGTGTGCATGTATAAGATGGACTTCTCACAGTAAGTACATAGTTAAAGCAACATTCCTAACACTCTCATGTCTGGGCCCTGAAGCTTATGCAAAGGATACTTGGACTCTTGCATAATATTTGTGTTTTGCATATGTTAACAACTACCTGACTATATTAATAACTCAGCATCTTTATTGAAATATAAAAGTATAAAATCCTTGTTTGCTATCACCTGAGAACATGCACTATTCTCCTAATTAACATGATCATGATGGGGTATAAAAGAGAGAAGGTACACAAAGAAAATATCATGCAAAAATAGTCCATGAACTGAGACAGTACATTGTGGAGAAAGAATTGGAGAACTATTGGTACTACGTGTAAGATGAGAACTGTTCTTGTAGATGTAGACTGCAAGTCATGTTATTCAGAGTAACCAGTTCATTGAAGGTTAAGGAAGAAGGCCTTGCAGATGTTTGGAGCTCATGTGTAGATTCCTCAACTTATCTATAAAACTAAGCTTTTGAAAATAAGTGCCTTGATTTTATTTATGTTTATAGCCTCATTATATTGTGATTTAAAATTTTGACAATATTGTATTTATGTAAATAGGAACTTCTGTGGGACAAGTGACTGCCATAGACCATGATGAACCTGACACTCTACACACTCGTCTGAAATTTAAAATCCTACAACAAATCCCAGATCATCCAAAGCATTTCGCCGTACATCCAGATACGGGTGTCATCACTACAACCACACCTTTACTGGATAGAGAAGTAAATAAACTGATTTATTAATTTCCCAGACATTAAAGTATGTTTAAATGGATCTTGAATTTCCAAGAGAAAGTATAACTTCCATAGGTTGTAGCTAGGACTTCCCTGGAAACTTCTTTTTTTCCCACAGAGATGTTGGGGAAGTATAAGATATTAATCAAGGCTTCACTTGAGTTCATTGACCTGATTTGATGTGTTGATACTAAAATTGAAGTCTATTTTTTTTTGTTTTACAAATATTACTTTTATTTTATTTAATATACTCATATGTAATTTTTAAAAATTGATGCACTTTACTTGTTAGGGCACATGTAGGTTCACAGGAAAAATGAACAGAAAGTACAGAGGGTTCCCATATATGCCCCACTCCACCAAGGCACAGCTGCCCCAGTGTCAAAGTTCTGCATGACAGTCATACATTTGTGACGACTGATGAACCTACACTGACATAGCATTACCATCTGAAATCCAGAGTTTACATGGGGCTTCACCCTCAGTGCTGCAGACTCCATGGGTCTGGAAAAACTGTACAGTGGCAGTATCCACCATTATCGTATCACACAGGATAGCTTCATTGCCCTGAAAATCCTCCGTGTCCTTCCTACTCACCCTTCTTTCTCTCCAGTCACTGAACACCTCTGACCTTTTTAGTGTCTCCCCAGTTTCACCTTTTATAGAGTATCAAGCAGCTGAAATAATACAGTCTATAGCCTTTTCAGAATGGTTTCTTTCACTGAGTAATACACATTTAAATTTCCTCCTTGTCATTTTATGGCTTATTAGCTCACTTCATTTTAGTATTGAATAATATTACTTCTTGTGGAAATGCTAATTTATTTATCCATTTACCTATTAAAGAGTATCTTTTTTTCTCTTAATGTTTGGCTATTATGAATATTATAATTTTAAATTTTGAAATATACTGAACACAGCCGGCGCCGCAGCTCACTAGGCTAATCCTCCACCTTGTGGTGCCGGCACACTGGGTTCTAGTCCCAGTCGGGGCGCCGGATTCTGTCCTGGTTGCCCCTCTTCCAGGCCAGCTCTCTGCTGTGGCCAGGGAGTGCAGTGGAGGATGGCCCAAGTACTTGGGCCCTGCACCCCATGGGAGACCAGGATAAGCACCTGGCTCCTGCCATCGGATCAGCGCAGTGCACCGGCCGCAGCGCGCCGGCCGCGGCAGCCATTGGAGGGTGAACCAAGGCAAAGGAAGACCTTTCTCTCTGTCTCTCTCTCTCACTGTCCACTCTGCCTGTCAAAAAAATAAAAAAGAAAGAAATATACTGAACACATCAGTTCCTATAGCATTGACTGGCTAACCTCTTGTATTTGTAGTGTTTTTTAAAAAATATATTTTTAAAAGAATATATGTGAAATAATCATCATATGAACAGAAGCTATAAAAATTGCAAGGTAGAAAAAATGGAATAGTTCATCAATGCACCGTTTTCCTTTTTTTTTTTTTTCAGAATTGTGATACTTACCAATTAGTAATGGAAGTTCGAGACATGGGGGGTCAACCTTTTGGTTTATGTAATACAGGAACAATTACTATTTCACTTGAGGATGAAAATGACAATTCACCATATTTTACAGAAACTTCTGTGAGTATATGTCTATGTTCATTGCTCTAGGTTCAATTATTTAAAAACAAAACCAATCTAGAGTATGGTAGCTCTGTAACAGCGCACATTTTGCTGTATATAGCTACAATTTCAAACAACAAAGGGAAGAGGGAACTTCTGTAGGAGTAATTGAAATGTCAGTTATTTCTGGATTGTAGGAAGGTAGTCATGCTATTAGCTACCATAAGGCACTTTTGTCCTTGACATGGTTCATAGTTTAGTGTTTTCTTTGCTGCTAAGCTCTAGTATCAGATTCCTTGGACTTAAATTTTTTTATAGGCCAAAGAAGAAAAGATCTTCTCTCTGATAGCCTTTAAACTTCAACTTATTAAAATGAAAAAGGGACTAGCTTTATATCCTATGCTATGGGGACATTAGTGTAGGCTGGCCCACCACCACCCCTGTATCATATTTGAGCAAACTGTCCTTTAGGCAGTAAACAATGAAAGACAGGTATATGCTAATAACTTCCAGAAAATGATTTTTGGTTCTTGAACTTTTAATGAGTAGCCTTCCATTTTTTTTTTCATTAATGTACAACAGAGTTCATGTCAAAGAAGGAAAACCATACAAGTCTGGTGGGTGAAAGGCATGTTCACATAGTTTCTGCATTCACCCCTACTCTGTGTGAGAACGTTTTATCCTATGTTTCATATGAAGAAATTAAATATCTATTAAGTAACCTAAGATCTCATTCATAAATACCATGTACAAGAAGTCATTAGGATTCAAATCTAGAACCATTATTCTCCAGTCATTATCATTCTTCTATAAGTTCATCTTTTATCTAGCAGATTCTGATTTATGACTTTCTTTAGTCTTTTAACATCGTATGCTTCAGTGATCACATTTTGTGTCTGTTTGTGGGGAGGGAGGTTGTACTATGGTTTAATTTCTCCAGAAAGGGGAACCAGCATTGTGGCATAGCAGGTATAGCCTGCTGCCTGTGATGTCAGCATTCAATATGGACTCTCGTTCATGTCCTGGCTGCTCCACTTCTAAACCAACTCTCTAGTAATGACCTCAGAAAAGCAGCAGAAGATGGCACAAGTGCTTGGGCCCTTGCCTCCCACTTGGAAGACTAAGATGAAGCTCTTGGCTTCAGCCTGGCCCAGTACTGGCTGTTGCAGCCATCTGGAGAGGGAACTAGCGGATGGAAGATCTCTCTCTCCTCTTCCCCTCTTTCTTTTTCTTTCCCTCTCTCTCTGTAATTCTGACTTTCAAATGAATAAATAAATCTTAAAAAAATTCTCTAAAAAGAGAAATCTTTTCCCTTAAAGTGTTTATGAGTGAATCAAAAATAAATAAAAAGATTGGTTTATAAACTAGTCATTAGTAAGAAATCAATGGATGTTATAATAATCCATAATGTTTAGTATATTTAATCATTCATTAGATGCTTACTATGTCTAGAAAGAGGAGCTACACTCTGAATATTGTAGAAGTTCAGAAAAGAGACAAATTTAAGGGCCAGAATGATTGGGAAAATCATCTCAGAGAAGTCTTCAGAAGTTAAGATATAAGTAGTCTTTTATGAATGGAGAAGATTTGAAAGAGCAGTTTAGAAGAAGAGAAAAAAGCTATACATTAAATTTATAAATTCTTTCCCAATATGTAAATGCACGTTTCTATATCACTTTGTTTTATTTTTTCTTTAGATACAATTTTACATGTTAAAACTATACATTTGTTGTAACAAGAGTCCTTTTCTTTTTTAGTATACAACAGAAGTAGAAGAAAACAGAATTGACGTTGAGATTTTACGAATGTCGGTACACGACAAGGATTTGCCAAACACTCCTCACTCAAAGGCTGTATATACAATCCTACAGGGAAATGAAAATGGGAATTTCAAAATCAGCACAGATCCAAATACAAACGAAGCAGTCTTATGTGTTGTCAAGGTAAAAATACAATCAAGCTATCCTTTAAACCATTCTAACTTATGTTTGCACACTGATACTAAAGTAATTCCTGTACATATGGAAGTAGAAGAGTGCAATGGGATGCTGCCATGACCTAGATTGATTTACATAAAATCTTTTGTTCTATTATTTTAGTCTCATTTTTTTCTTAGAGAAAAGTCGTATCAGGTACAAAACTCATTGTTATAAATATGAGAAAAATAAATTAGATGAATATTGAATATTCAATCAGATATTAACTTTATAAGAAATTTTAGACACTCACTGTTTCCTATCTTGAGTCCTATGCACAGCCTTCCCTAACTTAAGATCTTAGAAGTTTTATCCAGAAACTGTATTTCCTGACATGATTTTTAGAAAACGTGTTTTTCCCTTTCTTTTTAGTTTTCTTTGTGGGGAGGTAGGAGAGGGGGGCTTCTAGATCTTTCCCTTTGCTTTTTTTCATCATTTCACTATTGTTTCAGGATTATTTCTAATCATCCAGTGTAGGACTGAGCAGTTTGATCAGGAACTAAGCATATCCAAATCAAAATGCTTTGCAAATGTGCTGTTAAATAATATCATTCTATCTTGACTCAGATACTCGGAGCAACTGCTTTATTAAAGCCAAATATCTACTTATTATTATTATCCCTGGTGTCCCTTATAATGTCATGGAATCTTTTTTTAACTTAATATTTTATGTATTATTTTTTGAGAGCATATTTTAAATTTAAATTACATTATAATCAAATGCTTGATAGCTCTACTAAATAGAGTCCTACAAATAAAAAGTTAAAAGATCATAGTCCAGTAGGAAAATAGGCAAGATCTAAAAAAAAAAAAAACAAATTAAACAATGTACAACTTCATTCATTATGTAAGCCGTGGCCTGTAGTGCTGGCATCCCATATGGGCGCCAGTTCGAGTCCCTGCTAATACATGTGGGAAAGCAGCAGAAAATGGTCCCTGGCCCCTGCACCCACATGGGAGACCTGGAAGAAACTCCTGGCTCCTGGCTTCAGCCTTGCCTACCCTTGGCCACAGCAGTCATTTGGGGAGTGAATCAGTGGATGAAAGATCTCTGTCTCTCTCTGTGTCTCCTTCTCTCTCTATAACTTTGCCTTTCAAATAAATAAATAAATATGTAAAAAATAAATAAATAAATATCTCTAAAACTATAGTAACATACAATTTCTCTTGATTTGTTTCACAAAGATTTAAAACAAAGTTTGACAAAACATTATGCTTGCAGCCATTTTTGTTAATTTTAATTAATATTTACAATTGTAATAAAAAATGAAAACAGGAGCTTCCAAAAAAGTGAAGAGAAAAAAATTGGTTGAATCTTAAATAATTTGCAATCAACAATTTTGCATTTGACGATGTTGTTTTAGGAAGCTAAATGTCTTGAACTATGTTAGCACCAAGGTTTGACAACATTTGAAAAGTAAAAATGGTAATCCTTTGCTATTTAAAATTGACATCATCATCATAAATCTTCTACATAATAATGTATATTGACTAAAGTATGTTTATTGAACAGCCATTGAACTATGAAGTCAGTCGCCAAGTTATTTTGCAAATTGGTGTACTTAATGAAGCACAATTCTCTAAAGCAGCAAACTCACAACCTCCCACGATGTGTACTACAACTGTCACTGTGAACATTAAAGACAGTGATGAAGGCCCTGAGTGCCAGCCACCGGTGAAAGTTATTCAGAGTAAAGATGGCCTCCCAGCTGGCAAGGAACTCCTTGGATACAAAGCACTGGACCCAGAAACACACAGTGGTGAGGGCCTAAGGTAATGCACTTTGTGAAAAGATCTTTAATTTTAATGGGGACAGGAATTGATTTTAAATTTAAGAAACTTGGATGTATTTTTTGAAATGAAAATTTTTAAGATTTATGCTTCTTCTTTGATTTGCTCATTTATATTTGGTTTTTAAAAATTAGGTATCAGAAGGTAGGAGATGAAGATAACTGGTTTGAAATTAATGAGAACACCGGCGACTTACGAACTTTAAAAGAACTAGATAGAGAATCAAAATTTGTCAAAAACAACCAATATAATGTTTCAGTAGTTGCAGTGGATGCAGGTGAGTGCCGTTTTCTAGAAATAAAATATAAACATAAGGTATCTTTTTAAGGAAACCTTGGGGTACAATCTGTTTATTTCCAGATCAAAATTTAATGCAGTGTTTGCGTTGTTACTGCTTATTGTATTGAAGAACAGCTAATTTAGGCCCCAGTTTATCACTAACACAAAACTACTAGGTAGCAAATGGCCAAAGTCTTAAGACCCATATTTGATTTCTGCTGAGAAAATGGTGTCGTACCCAAGGATTATTGTTTTATTCAGAAGAAAAAGTTCATGTATAACCTTTCACCTTTCACTAGAACAACAAGTTTAGATTTTTATGATTTGAACCTGTTGAAATGATTCAGCCCACACAAAACAATTGGGTTCAATATAGGATTCTTTTCAGCATCTCTTAATGAATGACAAATTATTCATTAAAAATAAATTGATCTACTTCCCAAAGAAATGATCAAACCATTTCTTATAAGTGTTTTACTAGGGTTTGAATCTCTCTTCAAAGTTGATTCTAGAATCTATTCTGTAAAGAATGTCCTCAAATACAGCAAATTAATTATCTCAATCACATACTTTTGAACACACACTCTTCTCAGTAAACCAATTGTAATATGTTTAAATGTATGTTTATAAATATTCATTTGTTAAAGTTGCATTTTTTAAAGATTTATTTTATTTATTTGAAAGACAGTTACAGAGAGAGATAAAGACAGAGAGGTCTTCCATCCACTGGTTCACTCCCCAAATGGCTGCTTGGTCAGAGCTGTGCCGATCTGAAGCCAGGAGCTTCTTCAGGGTCTCCCACATGGGTGCAGGGGCCCAAGGACTTGGGCCATCTTCTACTGCTTTCCCAGGCCATAGCAGAGAGCTGGGTTGGAAGAGGAGTAGCTGGGACTAGAACCAGTGCCCATATGGGATGCCAGCGCTTCAGGCCAGGGCTTTAACCCACTGTGCCACAGTGCTGGCCCCAGTATGTTTATTTATACACATATACTACTATATTAATGTCTACATTTTAAAAATATACAAAGTAGAGATTAAAACAAAATATATGGAAGTTAAACTGTCTTATTTCATCATGCCAATTACATACTTACTCATTTGAGGCAAATTTACATAAGTAATAAAGGTAAATGAGTTTGGGCTTTAGTAACAGAGCCCATTGTTTTTGTTGTTTTCCTAATCCAAGATTTCCGCTTTCTTAACTACACGTCATGTTCCACATGAGCTAACTGATACAGCAATGCTTCCTCTATAGAATCATTGGATTTCTTTAGAAGGAATCAGTGAATATAGGAGCAAATACACACCCAACCCCATGGAAATTAGCACATGTTGAAAGTCAGCAGTGAAAGTTTTCATGTTTATTCATTTTTCCCTTGACAGTTTAATAATAAAATAGAGAATGTTTTTTCAGTTATTTTGCCCCTACTTTTTTCTGTAATTTTAAAGCAAGAGCCAAATTTACTAAAAGAGAGATAAAAGGTTAAATCAATGAATATTTCAACTGCTTACAATTCATACAGGAAGGACAAGGTGATTCATACACAAACCTGCCCATTCAGGATTTTTTTTTCTTACTCAGCTTTTTCCATTCCCTTGGGATGGGAATACTGTGCTGCACATCCTAATTAGTGAGTGGATCAGCTATGTTTTTTAAATATTTATTTATTTATTTGGAAGGCAGAATTACCAAGAAGCATAGACAGAGAGAGAGAAAGAGAGAGAGAGAGAGAGAGGTCTTCCATCTGCTGGTTCACTCCCTAGATGGCTGAAACAGCTGGACCAATTTGAAGTAAGTAGCCAGGAGCTTCCTCCAGGTCTCCCATGTGGGTGCAGGGACCCAAGGACTTGGACCATCTTCCATTGCTTTCCCAGGCCGTAGCAGAGAGCTTGATCAGCAGTGGAACAGCTAGGACCCGAACCGGTGCCCATATAGGATACCGGCACTGCAGGCAGCAGTTTTACCCCAAACCCATAGCACCGGCCCCAGATCAATTATTTTTTAAACTTTTCCCAAAAGTCCTAATATGAGGGCAATTTAAAAAGTCTGTGAAAAAATGGAAATAAAAATATAAGATTATTTTACTGAAAAAATTTGAAATCCATGCATTGTTTTTCCACAACAAATGTTTTCTGTGAACTTCATGAAGATCATGTGTGTGTGTGTGTGGACGCATTGTTCTGATGCTCACAAACATCTGTGGATGATGATTTAGGAATTTTATCTTTCTTAGAATCCTACTTACCTCCTTGTGCTGCTTGTGTTAATCTTGTTGGTCAGTCAGGCTGGTTTCCCTGCTGTCCATTTCAACAGCACTGTTGACCATACCTTCTCCCTAGAATTACCTCCTTCCTCCTGTTTGAAATTCAGTGGCCTTAAACATGTCAAGTGAATGGCAACGACAATTTCTGTTATAGTTCCAACTAGTCTTCATTCAGTTCTTCTCTCTGTAACTTTTCAGCACTTCTGCACTGGGAATAATGTGCTAATATAGCAAGTGATGTGTTTTCTCTATGAAAGGGTACTTCCATGATTTCTCATGTGCATTCTGTTCTAAGTAGTTTGATTATGAGCTCAACTTTGTAAAAGGGTTCCTTTATATGGTAGACAGTTCCTTCACCAAATATCTAGCACAGAATTTGGCCTATGCTTATTTTATGCATGTGCTAATAATTAACATTACTCTGTTTGAGAGCTCAGTGAACCTCCAGGATCAGGTTATGATTCACTACAAAGAGCTTTACAATCCCAGAGGCACGTGGCACTTGGAGCAATTGGATCTAATATGGGAAATTAAGTTTAAACATTACAAAATGCAGTCCTATTTTTGCCTTCTGTGAAATGAATTTTCTTAAAATAACCATTGTTCAAGAGTTATCAGGTGGAAGTGGTAAATATTTTGTGTGAACAATTCAAAGAGCCATGACTGAATTGTAAGAAATTATTATCAGGCATGTTGTAGCTTAATAGGAAAGAACCTAAAGTCCTCCTAACAATTAATTAAATAACTGTGTACATGCAGAGGGCTGATACATAATACAATAAGCTTCTGGTTACTGGAAACATTTAAGTAGCAGAGGAGAACTTTTGTTTCCCAGAATCCCCGTTATTGAGGTGTTGCTTATTTTGGGCTCTATTTTCTGGAAGCAAAGTTGAAAATTTACTAGGGCTGGTGCTGTGGCGTAGCAGGTAAAGCTGTCGCATGCAGTGCCGGCATCCCATGTGGGCACTGGTCGAGTCCTGGCTGCTCCACTTCCTATCCAGGTCTCTGCTATGGCCTGGGAAAGCAGTGAAGGTTGGCCCAAGGCTCCTAGCTCCTGGCTTCAGACTGGTGCAGCTCTGGCCATTGCCGCCATCTGGGGGGTGAACCAACAGATGGAAGACACCTTTCTCTCTCTCTCTCTCTCTCTCTCAGTTCTCTGGGACTCTGCCTTTCAAATAAATAAAAATCTTAAAAAAAAAGATTTACTGTCAACATTTTGTAGTTTTTGGAAATGTTCTTCTAAGACATTATTTCCAGTTCTGGCTTGTCATCCATTTTAAATAATGCTCAGAATCTTTCATTCTGATTTTATAGACCAAATAAAACAAAAATTGAGATAGATGATAATGTTATGTGATAAATGTTGGTTGAATGTAAAACTAAATGAACCCTGATTTGCTTTCCCGTGGTTGATGTATTTTCATTAGATTTTTAAACTATGATTTCTATCTTGACATAAAAAGAATCTCTACTTAAATTTTAAAGGTAAATTCATAGTATTCATATCAACTCAAGTATAGTATCTGTAACTAAACATTTTACTTGCAAAAGCTTCTTTTTCACATTAATTTTCTTAGTTTGCTCATTAGGAAGTTACTTTTATTATCTTTACTAACAATTTTCTGTCAGTCTCAAAATATTTATATGTTATTACACTTTATTTTCTTCATAGTTGTATTACTTCTTTATTTTTATATATTTTAAAACTTGTTCAGATAGAATAGTTTTAAAATAGATAGTTATTTTATAAAAAATTATTTTGAATAAATTGGCTTTCTAGTTACTCAACAGAACAAACTTCCTTAAAATACACTACATGATATTTATTTATTATGTGATTTAAAGACTATTTTAAACTAAAGAAAAAATGGATTGAATTTGCATGTAATTTTAATAGTCTTTATGATAAATCCAACATATGTATTTCAAAAATTAGACCAGCATTTATAAAAATGAGAAATTACACAATCAATTTTTATTTATTTCAGTTTTGAAATTATGCTATTTACAGCAGTTTATTATCACAAATGGTAGAATTTGAACATGTTTTGAACTTCATTATCTCTTAAACAAAAGTAATTGGCACTACTTTAAAGATACATTTACACAGAGGGAGAAACAGAAAGGGGTGAGGGAAAGAGAGAGAGAGAGAGAGAGAGAGAGAGAGAGATTCCATCAGCTAGTTCACTCCCCAAGTAGCTGAAATAGCCAAGGTTGGGCCTGCCTGAAGCCAGGAGTCAGGAACTCCATCTGGGAGTCTCCCCCATGGGTGGCAGGAACTCAAAGTTTGTCCATTATGCCCTGCTTCCCAGGGACCTTAGCAGGGAACCAGATCGGAAGTGGAATAGCCAGGATTTGAACAGGCACTCTGATAGAGAATGGGGGCATTTCAAGTGGCAACTTAACCTGCTTAGTGGCTTAACCTGCTTTTCCATGCCAGCCTCAGTAGGCATTATTTTAATTAAAATATTTATTGAGACTTATGTGTGAAGTCTTAGGTAAATAATGGTGGTGATGAACAGATAGTATGTGCTAGTCAAGGTATGAGCAAAGTGTTCTGAGGAAACAAAGGAAAATATGGCCACCATTGACTCTAGAGGTTGCAGTCAGTTTCATGAAGAGACGGCATTAGTGTTGCAAGGACAACAGAATGTACCCAAGCAAACAGGAAGGAGAGTGCCAAGAGGGTTTGATGAGAAACTTGACAAGTTTTCAGTGGAGAATACGTGAGGAAAAGTAGCAGCAGCTAAGATGACAGATGAACAGATGAACAAATGTAGAGTCTTTATACTCTTAGGATGAATTATGTGTGCTTCCCAGAAAGATGTAAGAATCAGCTTTGTGTCCAACAGGTTATTCTGTAGTGACGATCCTCATAACCTCACACCTTTTAGCTTTGGAAAACACCTGAAGGAATCATCGGATCCAACCACCAGTCCTCAAGGAAGTGTACTATGTCACTATTTTGTACTAATCCTGTAGAGATTTGGGAAACAATGTGCAAACTGATTTCAGGCAGCTAGCAGAAAACAGATGTCATCTGTGTATAACATAAGTTGCCGAAAATAAATTTTAAGTGAAAAAACAACCTACTTTTATTTTATCTTAGTTGGCCGTTCCTGCACTGGGACATTAGTAGTTCTTTTGGAAGATTTTAATGATCACCCACCACAAATCGATAAAGACGTGACCATCTGTCGTCACGAAAAGGATTTTGCTGTTCTAGAACCCGTAGACCCAGATGCGCCAGAAAATGGTCCACCTTTTCAATTCTTTCTGGATAATTCTGCCAACAAACTTTGGACTTTAGAATCAAAAGATGGTAAGTAATTCTGTTAAATGTTGTAATCAATATGAACTCAACATGCCTGATGAGCTTTATTTTCACTGTAGTTCATTGTAATAAATACACATTCATTTTAGGAAATATGCATTCATTTTAGGGTAATACCTTAAAATATATTTGTAGTAAGGTTAGTCTCTTGTTCTGAATATCTTTTAAGGAAACATATACATTCATTTTCAGTGAATATTTGAATAACCTGTAAGATATAGATTAGTCTAATGTAAGTCTAAAATGATATCAATTATTTTTTCTGAAAAGTCAAGATAATTTTTAAGACAGAAAAAGGATTCACTAGTCTTTATTCTATATTAATTTCTCCCTAAGAATATCAAAGAGGAATAATATTCCCACTGAAAGATCGTATCAATATACATTTTCTCTATCATTTTCCCTCTAGGTAAACGTGCTATCCTTCGTGAACGGCAAAATCTCGATTATAACTATTATTTCGTGCCTGTCCAAATACAAGACAGGCATGGTTTTGCTGCAAAACATGTGTTATCAGTGAAAGTGTGTGATTGCACTATTCCATCTGAGTGTAGGATGGATGTTAAAAGTCAGAGAGATGTTAAACCATCAAATGTAATACTTGGAAAATGGGCCATTCTTTCCATGGCTTTGGGATCTGCATTGTTGTTATGTAAGTATCTCTGTGCTTGCTGAAATAGTATCTGTTTAGAAAAACAATATGGCAGTTCTTTTCTTCAATGACATTGATAGCCTTTGGTGAATGTGCCCTTTTCAAATTCCTCCATCTACTTTAAGACTTGGGATCCCATGTCATTGAATAAGTATATCACTAAGAGCAGATAAAATTATTTAAAGTAAAATTCAAATCGCTGAGTCAATCATTTCCCTTTTTTTGGACTCAGTTTTTCATATGTAAGTTGGAAATAAAGGATAAAGTTATGAAGATTGTCTCCCCTATAAAGTATTATAGTTTTTCAAGCATCTAGCTTATATAGGGAATGCATATAAATATAAAAAAGAGTGAAAATAGGTAGTTTTAAAATTTTTAGATGTTTATGCTCTATTATTATTAATAAAGTGATTTAGCATATATCTTTAGAAGATTCCAACAAGTAGAAAATGGTCTTATGATACTATCAAGGGAAAATGATGCACAAGGGAGCCCAGATTTATTTTATTTAATTTTATTTATTTATTTGAGAGGAAGAGTTACAGACAGTGAGAGGTAGAGACAGAGAGAAAGATCTTCCTTCCGCTGGTTCACTCCCCAGATTGCCGCAATGGTGGGAGCTGCGCTAATTCGAAGCCAGGAGTCAGGAGCTTCTTCCAGATCTCCCAAGCTGGTGCAGCGGCCCAAGGACAAGGGCCATCTTCTACTGCTTTCCCAGGCCATAGCAGAGAGCTGGATTGGAAGAGAAGCAGCTGGGACTAGAACTGGCGCCCATTTGGGATGCCAGCACAGCAGGCGGAGAATTAACCTACTGCGCCACCGTGCTGGCCCCAGGGATCCAAGATTTTTGCATTTTGCAAGTCACTTTTCTGAAGATGGAAAACTATTAGAAATGTTGCCCAGACTGCTCCCTCTCTTTCTATCTCTCTGTTTCCCATGGTCTACTGTGCTTTAATTCATTCATTAGAGTTTCAACTGCAAGCTTCTGTAGTACTATATAAATTTATGTGCACCTTCAAAACTAAACACCCATTTTATGTAATTGCCTTTCTTGTATCTTTATGTGTAATGCTTTTTGTTTTGTTGTTCTCTCAGTCTTTTTTTAAAGTGTTACCATATGAATTTAATACCAATAATACTATCTGAGATTTTAGTCAAATAAAGTTGCCTCTTCAATGTTGAAGAAATGAGAGACACATATAAGTTAATTTTGGAGCTGGGACAAGAGCTATTATTAATCTTACTAATGCATTTTTAAAAAATTCTATTTTAAATTTTATGATCTAAAGAGATCTCAATTTATGAAATAAACTTAAAAAATCTATGCAACGTGTTTAAAAAATCATATAATCAAATGATTTGATATATACTATAGTAAAAAAAACACTATTTACATCAATCTTTTGTATTTTTAGGTATTCTGTTCACATGTTTCTGTGTCACTGCTCAGAGAACAGTAAAGAAATGTTTTCCAGAAGATGTAGCCCAGCAAAATTTAATTGTATCAAATACTGAAGGACCTGGAGAAGAAGTGATGGTAAACAGGATTTCATTTCCCTTTGAATTATCTGGTGATTCAATGATGACTATTTGAGGATTACATAATAATAGCAAAAATAATAATAGTTGATGTTCATCGAGAACTTTTTATGCCACAGAGTTCCAAGTGCAAATTTTGCTTTTTAAGATTTGTTTATTAATTCAAAAGGCAGAGTGACAGAGATGGAGAGAGAGAAGAAATCTTCTTACACTGGGTCATATCCCAGATGCCTAGAACAGCCACTTCTGGGCCAGGCTAAAGTCAGGAAATCCATCTAGGTCTCCCATATGGGTGTCAGGGACCCAAGTACTTGGGCCATCATCCATTGCTTGCTTTCTTTTTCTTTTCTTTTTTTTTTTTTTTGACAGGCAGAGTGGACAGTGAGAGAGAGAGAGACAGAGAGAAAGGTCTTCCTTTGCCGTTGGTTCACCCTCCAATGGCCACCGCAGCCGGTGCATCGCGCTGATCCGAAGCCAGGAGCCAGGTGCTTCTGCTGGTCTCCCATGTGGGTGCAGGGCCCAAGCACTTGGGCCATCCTCTACTGCACTCCCGGGTCACAGCAGAGAGCTGGCCTGGAAGAGGGGCAACTGGGACAGAATCCGGAGCCCCGACTGGGACTAGAACCCAGTGTGCCGGCGCCGAAAGGCGGAGGATTAGCCTAGTGAGCCACAGCGCCGGCCTATCCATTGCTTTCATAGGAGCATTAACAAGAGGCTGGATGGGGAAGCAGAGCAGCTGGAACATGAACTGGCATTTCAGTAAGGAATGGCAGTGTCACAATGATGGCTTAACTCACTGACCCACAACACTGGCCCGCAAAATTTATTTATTTATTTATTTAAAGAGAGGCTGAAAGGCTCACTCACACACACACACACACACACACAGCACTCCAACCTCCTGGTCTACTCCCAAATGGCCTCTCTGAGGTGGAAGCCTGAACTCGACCCAGGTCTCCGTTACCTACTGTCTCTCAGGGTTTTCATTAGCAGAAAGCTGGAGTCAACAGGCAGGGACTCAAAACCAGGCCCTCTATTTTTGGCTGCAGGCATCCTAACCAGTGACTTCTTATCTACAGGGCCAGATGCTGGTCCCGGACCTGCATGTTTTAATTCATTTAACCTTTACAATCCTGTTGTATCAGTTTCAAAGGCTGCCATAACCAACTGAGTGACTGGAAACAAACACACAGTTCTGGAGACTTAGGAAGGCGAGACTAAGGAGTTGACTGGGAGTTGCTCCCTCTGAGGCCCCAGAGAAGGATCTGCTCCAGGTCTCTCTCCAGCTTGATAGTTCTTGATTATGGCAGTATAAATCAAATCGTCACATTACATTGTCCTTGTGTTAAAGTCTGTATCCAAATTTCCGCTTTTTGTAAGGAATGACATTAATTCAGAATAGTTTGATCTTACCTGATTTATATATATATATATAATTATATATGAAATTATATAATGACAAGGTCACAATCTGAGGTATTGGGAGTTAGGACATCAACATGAAATTTTAGGAGAACCCAGTTCAACCCACAGCATTTGTGTCCTGGTTACATTATCCCAATTTTGCATATGGGAACTGAGGGAGAGCAGCTAGCTGATTTGCCTCTGATAAGGAAGAAATGAAAGTGTATTGCTAGTTTTAATTTGATTCATTCATTTTATAGCTCTAACTTTATTTTTAGGAAGCAAACATTAGGCTCCCCACACAGACGTCCAACATTTGTGACACAAGCATGTCTGTTGGTACCCTTGGGGGCCAGGGAATCAAAACGCAGCAAAGTTTTGAGATGGTCAAAGGAGGCTACACTTTGGATTCCAGCAAAGGAGGTGGACATCAGACCTTAGAGTCCAGCAAAGGAGCAGGGCAAGGAATGATGGACACTGGCAGATATGCATACACGGACTGGCAGAGCTTCACCCAACCTCGGCTTGGTGAAGTAAGTTCCAATGTTTTCAAGTTTCTGTTATGTGAAAGTTGAGCTCTATTTATGAATTGGATTTCCCAACTATTTCACTCCCTGTGCACCTGGAACATATCACCTTTGTCATGTTGAATTATAATAGACATGGAACTCAGATTCAAGACCAAAAAGCAAGATGATTTAATTTTTTAAAGTTTGATTTTTAAAATATGACTTTCAAAATTTTACCTAGGAGTGTCATATGTAGATGTGTTTATGAAGGATAAAAGATGGATGGCTTCTTCCTTGGAAATTACCGGAAAAACCACCAGGAGTGAAATAGAGGGTAGTGAACAGATATAAATTATAAATACTTTTCAGTGAGCTTGAATTCTCTATGTGGTTATGAAGTCCCAGCTATCAAAATCAAACAGATAGATTGTTAAGCTCCTTGATTTTTTTTGAGGGGGGGGGTTCAGATTAATCAGAATAGTTTGATATTAGGCAGTTTAATATATTATACTATTATGACTATATAATAGTATATAAGCATAAGAACCTTACATTGGTTTCCCAATAAGCTTATATTGGGTTCCCCCAAATAGTTGAAGAATTTATAGAGGTCAATTTCAAGTACACACATCTTTATGTTCAAATGGGAAATTGTAAGTTAGTTATATATGTGTCACCTTAATATTCATAACTGTGATCACTAGGAGCATTTATTTATTTGATATCGTTTATGAGTGAATATAATTCAGACCAATCATGTGCATTTTTTATGTGTAGGAATCCATTAGAGGACACACTCTGATTAAAAATTAAACAGTAAAAGGTAAATCAAAGACATCATTTTTATGCTAATATGTTTAGGTGTTTTTTAAAAAAAATAATAAACTGTGCTCTTTTTCTGAACAGAAGGTGTATTTGTGTGGCCAAGATGAGGAGCATAAACACTCTGCAGACTACGTGCGTTCGTACAACTATGAAGGCAAGGGGTCTGTGGCCGGCTCCGTGGGCTGCTGCAGTGATAGGCAGGAAGAAGAAGGCCTGGAGTTTCTGGATCATCTGGAACCCAAATTTAGGACATTAGCAAAGACGTGTGCAAAGTAATAAGTGTGCTTTTAATACAGCACCATCTACAAATACAAACTTCAGGGTTTATTGGATGTAAACACTAGCAGCATCTGCTACTGTTTTTTGGAGATAAACTTTGCGTCATGTACACAGTAAGATACTCTAAGTATGAGGTTTCCCTAAATGCTCCTTGTCTGACATTACTTGGAGGCTCTTTGGAAATTAAGGCTGCATTTGTTAATTTTCTTTTACATGCATGTAGATACTACCTTTGTGGGACTGTGTGCTGTCTTGTACCTGCTATTTGAACTCTTGTGTGCTAGGGAAGAGAATGTAGGAGAGCTGGGTATAGTGGAAGCTCATTGAAAATGAATTTTCCTTTTAGATGGATAAGTTAAATATTTTCTTCAAAATCTTGAGGAGAATTGTGCTTTTAGAAATATTTTGTTGGGTGCCAGAGAATTGCTTTTTTCTCTACTTGTCTTTAAAAAGAATTTCAATTATTCTTAAGTGCAGTCGTCAGTTTGTTTAAAAAAAAAAAGAAAGAAAAAAACTCATTTCTTACTACATTTTTCACTCCCTAGGGAGGGTGCTCATAGCATGGATTTCTTTCGGGAGCTCGGTCCTGGGGTCTCTGCCCGCGTGGATAACTTACCAGCTCCTTACAGCTTCTAGCACTGTTGGAAAGACAAGGACTAGAGTAAGCTCCCAGCAGCTTGAGCAGCAGAGATTTGCCAAGGAATTCATGAGACGATTTCCAGGAAAAGAATGGCAACTCTGATGCTCATGGGTTAGCCTGGACTCATACTTGTGTTTCGTTTGGTCGGTAAGATCTAAAATTATAAATAGCTTGGCAAGAACATGCACTCTAGTTTGATGCTGGCCCATCAGTTCTGTGACTTTCACCCTGAAGGCATTAGGCTGGAACCCTAATACACAAGAATTAAGCAATAGACCAAAAACTGAGCTGTCATCTATACTGGGACTTAACACGTAGTCAGTCTACAGTTGTGATTACTTTTCAAAATGGAATATCAGAAATGGTGTCTGGCACATGTAGGTTAGAAAATTGGTATCTATCACATCAACACTGACCAAACATTTACTCAATGATGCTCAAATGAAAAAACAGATGAGCAAATAAATTACTCTTTAGTCAAAGCACCTAATCTCAAAATAATTACACATTTAAATAATATCTTCTTTTAGCCATTTGTGGCAAACTACAAATTTATAAGCAATAATAGCATACATCACATGACAATTTCTCATGCAGACAAAGGTTATATTTTTTAGCCTATTAACTAGTTAACTTGAAAAAAATGAGTTTTTAAAAACATTTTGTGATTAGTCTTAGTCTTATTCTCAGGTAAAATTTCTAGTAAAAGGTATTTCCTCACATGAGTTGGGTAATGCAAGAAAAGAAAAAAGTAGTTTTAATAATTTGAATTTTATTTTCTAAGCTACCCATAATGCATGATTTTATAGCCATTGTAAGATAATTTGAGGATGATACTGCAATTTCTGTTTTTTGATATACACATTACTCTGACAATGATGCTAGTTTTGCAATTTTAAAATATAAAATTGGAATATATCATAATAAGTTATGGTTTTAAATGTAGATATGGAATGTCTTGAGGATTTAAAAATCATTAGCCAAATATTAGCTCATATGTTTGTGTTCATGTTTTTTTCTTATGCTTGCTTTAAGTATGAAAAAGAAAATTTATATCAATGTAAAAGTACAATTAATGTCCAAAGGTAGATTTCTTGTTAAGCAAGAGAAAAACCTCTAAAAATATAGAAAGTATGGGAAATGAATTTGTGTTAAGCAGTTTTGTCTACTTAAAATGTTTCCAAAATATTATTAAAATTTATCTCATGGAGAAAGTAGGACTGTTTTTTTATTTACTTGTGCAACTCAGTCATTCTCTGTTTACACCCCAAATTAAATGTTAATTATATGAATAATTAAATTTATGAAACTCCACTAGACTGTTTATAAATTCAGTTCAATAAAACATTGCATTTTGTGGATTTATTTCATATAAGTTAATTGTCAGTTGATCATCAATTAATGATTTAATAGTTATGAATAACTTTTATTTAAATTTATAGTGAACAAATAAAAATTCTATTTTCCTTATCTTGATTCGGGTCTCAAATAATTCATATGAAAATGAGATACCCAAGTAATATTTATAAGCAAACTTCATTTACACCTTCTAACCTAACTGAATTTTAATTCCTCCTGTACCTATGAAAATTATAAAACTTGACCTCTTTGCATATGTTTAATTGTAGAAAATGACATATGATATGTCACCTGAAAAAAGCTCAAAATAGGTATTTTGGAATGGGTGTTGTGGCTAGGGCATTGGGGTGCAGCCATTTAAGCCACTGCTTAGGACACCCGCATCTGACCCTGGAGGGCTTGGTATACTGGGATTTAAGTCCCAGTTCTACTTCATATCCAGCTTCTTGCTAACATGCTCCCTGAGAGGCAGAAAATGATGGCTCAAATACTTGGGTTCCTGTACCTATATGGGAAACACAAATGGAGTTCCTGGTTCCAGACCCAACAGTTTTGGGCATTTGGGGAGTGAACTAGCAGAAAGTAGGTCTCTCTCCCTCTCTTTCTGTTGTTATGACATTCATATAAATAAATTCATATAAATAAAGATCATAAAACTGTAGATGTTTTAGACTTGAGGCTTGTTATCACAGAAAAGCTAAGTCCTTTTTAATAGTGTGTTAGTTACACTAACTGAAAATCCTAAGTGAAATTAGGATAATGAAACATCCAATACATTTTGCTTTATTTTCTTAGTCCCTTTTTTGTGCTTTGCCTAATAAATCTGAAAAAAACATTATATGTGGCTGGATATTGCCTTTGTGGCGCCATACGGGTTTTAACCAGCTGAGCCATAGCACTGGCCTCGGATTTCAGAATTTTTAAAATTTAATTTTCAGTATGCAACACTTAATACTTGCAATTTTACAGTTTTGTTTGTCCGTGCTTGCAGAATTTAAAATGGTGTAACATGGAATTTTAACACTATAAAGAAGTTCCAAAGCTTCATTTGAAATATATAAGGTTTTACCTAGAATCCATGTAGAGTTATTTTCTATCATGTAAAAAAAAAACTTTTAAAAAGCCCTCTAATCCAAATTAGAAATGAATATATCTCCTCATTTCACTTTTCATTTCCTAAAATATACAGAAAATTAGTAATTAAAAAGTGGATGACATATATAAAATTCAGCCTCCCTTGAAACCCAAGTTCATAAAGACCTTCTATCCATAGTAGGTCTCCTACCGAAGGTATGTGTGTCTACTATATTTCTCACCTCTTGGTCATCCCTACTAAAATCCTGATTTAATGGCTCTTGAAATGTGATTACTGGACCAAAAGAATCAGCATTATCTGGGAGCTTATTGGAAATGCAAATTCTTGGGTCCCTGGCCCAGATAGGCTGAATTAGGAAATTCTGGGCGTGAGAGCCAGCAACCTGTTTGAACAATCTCCTGCATTGTGTCTGCCATACGACAAAGCTTGAGGATGCCTCTGCTTACTACACCCTTCAATCCAGCACAAGTTCTCTGACACTGAGTGTTGCCTGCCGGGTCCCAGCGAGGGCTTCACCCCAGAGCTAGTGGATTCGCAGGCCCCTCCTCGTACTGATTAGTTCAGAACCTGCCCTTTTTCAAGATTCGCCAGGCGATCTGCACACATGTGAAACTTCCTCAAGTTCCACATAAAACATTAGGCATCAGGAAAGGCAGCAAAAACCAAGAGGTGAAAAATGGAGTTAGAGTGAGCAACACAGGTAGCCTCAGGCAGCAGGTTTATCCCCTACCACTCGGTGTGGAAGTGCATCCTTGCCCAGCTGGTGACCCCGGCTCAAGACCACATGTCACCAGCCACACAGCAGCAAGCCCTCACTGCCAATTCTCGTGTACCTGGCTAATGGCCTCTTTGATAAACTTTGTACTTATCATATATTGGAGGGTGTGCAATGACACAGGATGGAGCTAAATTTAGATAAATGCATTTCCATTGCCACTGTACTTGCCAAATGTATCCTTTTAACTCATAATTAAGAAAAAAAATTCAACAAAATCTCACTAGTTTTGATTAAGCCTATGCAGCAGATTTATCAAATTATGTTTAAAAACCAAATTGCACATCCTTGGGTAGTTTAAGCAAATATTTTCTGATCATTTCGGCTAGCAGGTGTCCTGATAGAATCATTTAATACTGAGCTAGTTTATCACCATAGATCTTTCAAAGTTTCTAGTTTGGTTGAAGTGGCTGACTTTATAGGTGTGACTAAGAAGTTGTCAGAACCAGTTATTTTTATTTAGTAACCACAGTCTTCCATGATTGCTGCTTTTTGTTTGACTGGGAAGTCACACAGAAGAAAACAGACACATTTTCAGAGTAATTTCAGTATTTTAATGTAATGCTAATTGAGCATTATGATAATTATTACATAATACTATAAAGTGATGATAGAATATAGGAAACAATTATGAAGTACAGATGATATCAGTCATTACACTGAAATATTAACTTAATGTTAATGTTCCAACATTAGACATATTGCAAGTTAAAGAAGAGTTAAACACTGGCTCCTGACAGACATGTCGCTCGATAGTTCAGAGATTGTGGCTGAGATGCTGCTGTCTACCAGCCTTGCCTAGCCTTGTTCTTTCTTAGAGATGGAGCTCTGATTACATTCAGAGTGGCTATGTGTCTGGCTTAGAGAGCGTTGTTTCCAACCCTCCTGAACTAAGTTTGTGAATATGTCCTAAATTCTGGCCCAAGAGAAGCAAGCCAAAATGCTGTGTGTGAAACTTCTGAGTAGGAGTTTCTAAGGGAGCTGATTGACCTAGAAGATACTTTCTCTTTTCTTTTCCTCTCCTCCCCTCCCCTCCCTTCAATTCTCCCCTCCTTTCCTCTCTCCTCCTCTCCTTTCCTTCCTTCGATTTTATTTCATGATAACTAGGACATAGATGTGATGCCTGGTGCTCAGGTGGCCATTTTGTGAGCTTCAGATTGGAGTCCATGTGCTGAGGACAGTGGAACATAAAGATTCGCAGAGGCTGGACCTTCAGTAACTGTGAGTTACCAGCCTGGCCTGGACTTCCTGCCTCTAAACTTACTCAAGTGAGTGAACAGACCACTGTGTGTTTGTGTCATATTAATTAGTTTTTCGTTATATATATAAATACCTAATGTGATGTAGGAAGAAAACAGAGAGGGGATGGAAATCATTTTTTTAGTCAAAGTCACAATACAATGAAGTTAATTTGTTGTGAGAACTCATTTGCTTTGACTTAAGAGTTCAAAATGGTAGGGGCCAACGCCATGGCTCACTTGGCTAATCCTCCTCCTGAGGTGCTGGCATCCCATATGGGTGCCGGGTTCTTGTCCCAGTTGCTCCTCTTCCAGTCCAGCTCTCTGCTGTGGCCCGGGAGTGCAGTGGAGGATGGCTCAAGTGCTTGGGCCCTGCACCTGCATGGGAGACCAGGAGGAAGCACCTGGCTCCTGGCTTCAAATCGGCGTAGCGCTGACCATAGAGGCCATTTGAGGGGTGAACCAATGGAAGGAAGACCTTTCTGTCTGTCTCTCTCTCTCTCTCACTAACTCTGTCAAATTAAAAAAAAAAAAAAAAGGTGAACTTTGAAGACATTCCAGTTTTCTCTGATTGGCTTCCAAGCAAAGGGGGATATTAATTATTTTATGGTTATCAACAATGATATAATAATAGGTCAGTTGAAAACACTCTCCTCTGGGCCATCACTGTGACTTAGTGGGCCAAGCCTCTGCCTGTTACACCAGCATCCCATGTGGATGCCGGTTCAAGTCCCAGCTGCTCCACTTCTGATTCAGCTCTCTGCTATGGCCTGGGAAAGCAGCAGAGGATGGCCCAAGTGCTTGGGCCCCTGTACCCACATGGGAGACCTGGAAGAAGCCCCTGGCTCCTGGCTTTGGATAGGCTCAGATCTGGCCATTGCAGCCATCTGGGGAGTGAACCAGCAGGTGGAAGACCTTTCTCTTTGTCTCTTCCTCTCTGTGTCTGTAACTCTGCCTCTCAAATAGATTAATTAATTAAGAAAACAGATATTCATTAAAAAAAAAACAGTCTAAATGCCATCTCACTAGTCCCAGTGATCAATTTCTGTTCACAATTGATCATAATGATAGGACTAAGAACCAAAGGGATCACATAAACAAGAATAGTGTCTGCAAATACTAGCTGATAGAATAAAAAAGGGAGAGAATGATCCAATATGGGAAGTGAGATACACAGCAGACTCATAGAATGGCAGATGTGCTAAACAGCACTCTGGCCTCAGAATCAGCCTTTAAGGCATGCTGATACGGCTGAAAAGCCCATGAGAGTATTTCAGGCATGGAAAGCCAAGACACTCTGGGGAAAAAAAAAAACCTAAATGAAAGATCTCTGTGAGTGAGATCCCAGTGGAAAGAACGGGTCATCAAAGAAGGAGGTACCTTTCTCTGAAGGGAGGAGAGAACTTCCACTTTGACCATGGCCTTGTCTAAAAATTATCAGAGTCAGTGAACTCAGGGGGCTTCCATAGCCTTGGCAGCTCATGACAAGAGCCTAGGTTGATTACTGATGCCATAAACAAGAGTGTCAATTTGTTAAGTCAACAACAGGAGTCACTGTGCACTTACTCCTCATGTAGGATCTCTGTCTTTAGTGTGCTGTACATTGAGATTTAATGCTATAACTAGTACTCAAACAGTATTTTTCACTTTATGTTTCTGTGTGGGAGCAAACTGTTGAAATCTTTACTTAATGTATGCTAAACTGATCTTCTGTATATAAAGAGAAACGAAAATGAATCTTGATGTGAATGGAAGGAGAGAGGGAGTGGGAAAGGGGAGGGTTGTGGGTGGGAGGGACGTTATGGGGGGGAAGCCATTGTAATCCATAAACTGTACTTTGGAAATTTATATTCATTGAATAAAAGTTAAAAAAAAAAAGAAAAAGGAAGTGTTCCCTGAAAAAAGGGAAATAGAAAAAAAAAAGTCTATCCCCTCTTAAGTCAAAGCCCTAACTTCATAAGAAGTTACTGAAAACACTTGATTATTTTATTAACTTGCCATGTGATCTTCTTCAAGTCATGAAGCTCATTAACTTCTCTTTCAACTCAAAAATGAATTTTATTTGTTGCTGTTATCAACCAAATTGTGATATTATTTAATGCAAGAATGGTACTATGCTCATTATATTCTCCCTAATTCCTGTGCTTGGAAGGGTGTTTATTTAGATACATGGTATTGAATATTTACTTGTTGTATTAAATTAAAAATTTAAATGAAAACATCTTCCTTAAATACACACACCTTTAAACTGAGTGCATGTTTTGTATGCTTTTATTTATTTATTTTTATTTGACGGGTAGAGTTATAGACAATGAGAGAAAGAGACACAGAGAAAGGTCTTCCTTCCGTTGGTTCACTCCCCAGATGGCCGCAATGGCTGGCGCTGTGCGGATCCGAAGCCAGGAGCCAGGTGCTTCTTCCTGGTCTCCCATGTGGGTGCAGGAGCCCAAACACTTGGGCCATCCTCCACTGCCCTTTCGGGCCACAGCAGAGAGCTGGACTGGAAGAGGGGCAGCCGGGACTAGAACCGGGCGCCCATATGGGATGCCAGCACCGCAGGTGGAGGATTAACCAAGTGAACCACAGTGCCAGCCCCGCTTTTATGTTCTGATTCTAAGAACAGTGTAATTCAAGCGATGATATGTTTTCTCAGATCTGACAGGTCCAATGTTTGGGTGCATTCTAATAACTGAGGCATGTTCTCATCTTCCAGTTAGTCAATATAAAGATAAATTAAATAAGAATCATTGTTGTTAGTTAATACAATGAATTTCCATCATAGTCCATATGTGACAGTTTCAGTATGTGACAAAGAAAACAATTTTATGGTTTTGCTGTATGACAAATTGTGATTCTATACTGTAATTCATTGAGCTGGAATTCTGCTATTCTGCATCATAGGGTATATTAGAGGGCTAGTTTTTAAATGGTGTCTATGAATCAGCTGGGATTTGCAGTAGGCTGCTGGTAATAGAAATAGCAGTGGCTTCAACAAGATAAGTGTCTTTTCTCTGATACAAATGGGAACTTGGACTCATATGAAGGCTTCTTAGTGGTATAATGTCTCAGGAGACTTCTGTTTCTGCCCAATTATCCTTTGTACAGATTGCTTTATAGTCACAAGATGGCTAATGCAGCTCCAGCCATCATTTCTGTGTCTAAAGCACAAAAAGGAAAAGGGACACCTGACTTTAGGGAACGCCTCTAGAAATCCCCTCACCCATTTCTGCCCTGGAGTATTTCCTGCCCTCGGGAGAAGTTAGTCACAGGTCTATACCACTCTGCAATGCAGAGTGGAAAATAGGGGTTTTCAGCTGAGTGCATCAAGTGAACAAAATCAGGGCGCTGTGTCCAAGGAGAGTGGTTAACAATGAGATCCAGCAATCAGAGAGAGAATGTGCAAATATCCTTGACCAATGCGACCCTGACTTGTAGCAAAATATTTACTCTGTATAGCATAGTTAGGGGAATGTATACTTCAGTTGGAAAAACATCCATTTTCACCTGCCAAGTTTTACTTAATATAACAAAGCAAAACTTGTATTAAAGGTCACATAAATAAAACCTTAGATTTTTTTTCAGAGCTTAAATCCCGATTACCAGAATAGAAATTGTTAAATATATACTGGGGAGGAGGGAGAATGGGGAAATAAGCTTTTACAGGTGGAAAAATATGAATAAATTGCTACATTACAAATTAAGGTAAAAGACAAGTACTTGACGTAGCAGCTGAAATGCTTGAGAGACTCACAACTCATATGGGAGTGCTTTGGTTTGAGTCCCACTCCAATTCCAGCTTCCTTCTAATGCACGGCCTGGGAGGCCGCAGGTGACAGTTCAAGTAGCTGGATCCCTGTCACTCATGTAAGAGACCTAGATTGAGTTCCAGACTCCTGGCTTCAGCCTGTCCCAGCCCTGGCTGTTGCAGACATTTCAGGAGTAAGACAGAGAATGGATTTCTCTCCCCTCTCTCCCCAATTCTCAAATAAATAAAAATTTTAATGACTCAGGGCAAGAGCAGGACTTAGGCACAGCAGTTAAGATGCTGCTTTGCACACTTGCATCCCATATTGGAGTTCCTGGGTTCGATTTTCAGGTCTACCCCCAATTCTAGCTTCCTACTAACAGACAACATGGCAATAGATAATGGCTTAAGCACTTGGTCCCTGCCGATTATGTGGGAGACTCGGATTTAGTTCCTGCCTCCTAGATTTGGCCTGGTCTGGCACTGACTGCTGCCAGTGTTTAGAATGTGAATCAGTGGATGGGAGAACGCTCTGAGTCTCTGTCTCCCTGCCTTTCAAGCAAGAAAAAAGAAACCAGGGTATTTCACTGTAAATGCATATTTGTGACTTTTCTTGAAAAAATGGGAGATGTAGCCACAGGGTCTGTCTTCCTGAAGGCCAGGGCTGGAGTTGACAGGTGATCTTCCTTTTAGAAAGTATCCTCACAGCTTGCCATTCATGTCCCACACAGGAAAGCTATCAATTACCATTCTATCATGACACTTGTACAGTGGTTTTTTTTTTTTTAAGATTTTATTTATTTTATTTGAGAGGTAAACTTACAGACAATGAGAGGAGAGACAGAGAGAAAGGTCTTCCTTCCGTTGGTTCACTCTCCAAATAACTACAACGGCTGGAATTGCTCTGATCCGAAGCTAGGAGCCAGGCACTTCTTCCCGGTCTCCCATGCGGGTGCAGGGGCCCAAGGATTTGAGCCATCTTCTACTGTTTTCCCAAGCCATAGCAGAAAGCTACGATTGGAAGTGGAGCAACCAGGACTAGAACCAGCGCCCGTATGGGATGTCAGTGCTGCAGGCAGAGGATTAGCCTGCTGCACCACGGCGCCGGCCCGGACAGTGGTTTTTTTGAAGGTAGATTTAAAGAGAGGAAAAAAGAGACAAATTTTCTATATCATTATCCTTCACAAAAGTAGAATAATAAAGAAAGTACTGCCCTGTTCAACTAACCTGTCCTTTATTTTGGTCACTTACCTGGACATTCAGGATATTAAAATTTGTTAGCACTTAAAATATGAATTTTCAAGGTACAATGGATTATGTTGTCACTTGACACGCTGTTTCTTATGCTCATTGTTGATTATTTCCTGTCCCTCCAACCACTAGAGCATAAACTCCCAGAGAGCAAGGATCTTTGTACCTGAAACATTGCCTGCTACTTGGAGAGAACTCAAGAAATAATCTGGGGGGCCAGCACTGTGGTGCAGCTGGTGAAGCTGCCGCCTGCAGTGCTGGCATCTCATATGGGTACTGGTTTTGAGTCCCGGTTGTTCCACTTTGGATCCAGCTCCCTGCTAGTGCACCTGGGAAACCAGTGGATGATGGTCCAAATGCTTGGGGCCATGCAACCACATGGGAGACCCAGAAGAAGCTCCTGGCTCATGGCTTCAGCCTGGTCCAGCCCTAGTTGGTGCAGTCATTTAGGGGAGCAGAGCAGTCGGTGGAAGACCTGTCTTTCTCTGTCTCTCCCTCTCACTCTGTAACTGTGCCTTTTAAATAAATAAATAAATAAATCTTTAAAA